TGACACCTTTGCACATGTCTCAGAGCGTCAGATAGGGAAGAGAATATGCTGAAGAGGAAGGAATCCAAACATTTATTGTGACTTTCTTCACCTCCTCCCCTTATTAAGTTAGAAGTAATGGTTATTAGACAACTTACATTTGCGGTAGTGCCTAAGTAAACTCTTCTTTGATCACTTTTGGGGGAGGGAGCTTTTGTTTAAGAGGTAGAAACAGATGCTGCTTCTACCTTTGTGAACAGAGTGAGGAAGCGGGCTGGTTCTAGAACCAGAATGTGTGGCCTGTTTTGGGGGGAGGGGGGAGTTAAATAGATTGATTGTTTAGCATTGCCTCACTTTGGAATGCATTTTAATTTATAAAGCACAATATATGCAAATCTATTTATTAAATCTGTAGCTGCAATATGAATAGAAAATGTTATTCATGTATAGTAGCAACAAATTTCAGGTTTACAGTTAGACTAGTGTATTTACAGTTAGTGTCTTCATTCATGCACAGTGTATTAAATGGCAGATGTGGTTTAGACAATGTCCACAGGATGTTTTCAGGTACTCTTTTCTTCTGAGGTGAAAACAGTAGTTAACTGTCATCATAGGTAATATATTGCCTTGTAGTACTTTGAGTGCAGGTATAGAACAGCTTTATGATCTTCTAAAATGCACAGTGGAAGCTGCTTCCACTGAAGGGATCTACCTACACAGCAGACTTAGTTCTAGCTAAAACATCCTTGTTCAGAAATTGGATGTCTTATTTAATCCTTTCCAAATCAGTGTGAAATTGCACTATCAATCACCTCTGGTAAGAAAAATTCTTTTGCTTTCAAATGTCCTAACTACTCCAAACTGGAGTACCTGTAGATTTTTCATTCTTTGTGAATTAAATGTACATAGGAAAATACAATACTGTCACCAAAGTAGAGATAGGCATTGGGGCCACAGCACGTGCTCCGTCCTCCCATCATTACTCCAGTATATGAATAAATGGCACCTGTTTCCCCTCAATGTACTATGCAAATACTTGTGTACACTGAATCCTTGAAAGCATGGGCATAATCCTTTTCCCAGACAGATCTTAGTATTCCACTTTGGGCCTGCTTCAAGTGGCTGTAAAAGCATCTTGCGTAGGGCAAAGTGCCCTTTCCACAACTGCTTTACCTGTGAGCAAGTAGGGAACTATGTGACTTCTGCAGTGCAGAAAGCCTCACAGCATCTCTTTAAGTGGTGGTGCACTTCATTTAATAAGCTGTTTCCGCTGTAGTATCAATCTAGTTCTCATATAACACAACATTGATTTTATACACAATCAAAAAGCACATGAAGAAACTATACCAAAAAAAAAAAAAAGGTGCATCAAGAACTCTTACCTCAGATGCTTACTTTAAACACCCCAAAGTTAAAACTAACCTTGAATCTAAGGAAGTACAGCTATTACTGGAAGTTAAGAACCAATGTATCCTAAAACTTAGAGAATGTGACACTGTTAGCAGTAGTTTGAGTTCCACAGTTACTTCAGTGGGTTGGTTGTCTTTTACTTGCAGTGCAGATTTCCTGCCCTCTGAACAGAAGTCTTGTTGTCTCAGTAGTTGTTATGAAAATGCTGCTTTGCCATCAATCTAGAAAGATCAGTTCAGGACCAGTGTATGATTTGTTTGGGGGGAACTGCAGGATTCTCCCTTATTTTCAAGTTGCGTTGACTCAGGCATATGACATGAACTTCTGGGACTCAAAATCCCACAGCCATGTGGTTCAGAATTGGGATTTTATTTCCTCCAGATTCCCAGGCCTCTTGATCTGACTCTAGGACAATGCCATATCCTTGGTAAAATACACCTATAGATTCAAGGGAAATATTTCAGCATGATTTCGGAGTCCTTTCTCCCACCTCATCGCTTTCATTGAGAGTGATGTATATGTTGCAGTAGAATAAGATTCCTAGAGCTAGAGAAATAAATGAATTATTTTTCTTTATCATATTTTGTAGCTGGCAGAAGTAAAATATTGTATGGAAAAAATCTATTTTCATAATCACTGTGTATAAAATATATTTGAACTTTCACTGAAGCACTATGTTTTGAATAATCACAGCATGTGGCATCATTCATTCACAGATGAATTTAAGGTACCTCTTTTGCTATGACAAAGCTGTACGAATAGCCCAAAGTGGCCTATTCAGAAATTGCAGGTTCCAGCCTAATTTAAATTGCATTAATAAAAGTGTGAAATATGGAAATGTCTTGGTTGTCTTAATTTAGAAAAACAATCTCAATCTTACCTGACTTATATGGGAAGGACAGCAAGTTAGAAGAGTGCAACTTTTAACTTGATAGTTCCTCATATAGAAACTTAAAAATATTGTAGCTAAAGTTGGTTTTGCCTTCGGTGAGACCTTGAGTGTCACCTTAGCCTGGACTTGTATGTAACCAGTGCTTTCTCAAATGGACTACTTGTTGTAAACTAGCAGTTATCCATGCTTAAGTGCTTACTTTATGAGAAGACTGAGTTTTAGATGTCCTTCCTTCTGCATAGGCAATTTGCACTATGGCAGAAAGCAAAAAAAATTTTGCTTTCAAGCATAAAGCTTAACTGCTAGAAAAACAAGTAAGTGTACCTTGTGCTGTGGGGATTGCTGCAATGTTTCTGATACACGCCGTTTGAGAACTTTCATGGGGTTTTTTTGACTTGTCATTCATCTGCAACACTTTTCAGCTTTTCTTTGTCCCCACCCTTCATATTTGCTTAATAAAATAATTTGGAGTCAGAAGTCATTAACCACAATTTACATAGGTATGTGCACTATTTAAAATGCTCCACATTAGAGATTATCATCACACAGCACAAGCAGCTAAATTGTCTTACTTAATAAGGAAGTGCTAAAGCACTTCTGGAGGAAAAAAAACCCAACTGTCCTTGACTTCTTTGGTCTTTAGATTTCAGTCTAATAAACTCTGTGGCACAACAGTGATAATACAAATACAGCATAAGTGCTGTAGAGCACCCTGAGAACAGAATTGGAAAAAATATTTCTTCAGTTTCTCACCTTGAGTACAATTCTTTGAATTAGGAATGCTGTCTAAAAAGCCCAAGAGACTCAATAGGTTGGGATATGCCTTTCCAACACTTCTGATAAAAGAGAGGTCTTGATTCCTGGAATGGGAATCCACAAACACAGGTTTTCCTGACAAGTCCTTGACTTCCAGGTAGGTACTTAACAGCCCTGGCAGGCATTAAGATTTGTCTCCCCAGAAGAGGAAAACTAGTGCACTTACTTGAAGGTTAAACCATGACAGTCTGAAAACTAAAGAGAGGTCACATGATAAAATCCCAGCTTCATACTTTGCCTTTTTTGAGAGCACAAAGCTGGCACCTGCCTGACAAGCCCAGACCGAAGCACTCCCAGACCTTGGATCAGACTTGCATTCAGACTGCCTCTGCCAAAACCAGAGTATTTTGTTGGTTTCTGTTACACAGGCCCATAAAAGTATTTGTGGGCAAACAAAACCAGCTGTAATCTTTTTTTTAACCTCCCAACTCCTTTAAGTAACTTACGACCATGGGCTAGAGTTTAAGAGAAGACACGGCACAGCTCACTAACCAGTGCAGTTACGTGCCCTTTCTGACGTACTTCGGTAGGTCAGCTTTGTAGCTATAACAGAAACCTGTGGAGAAACATAGGTGTTGAGAGATGTTAAGGGTAGGCTGTCATTAGACCTAGCTTAAAATGGTGGGTTAGTAAGAGGTGCAATTATTGGGCTAAGCAGGTCCCCTTCTCTCTTTAAATGTCATCCCTCAGGATGAACAAAATCTATTTACCTTTAAATAACCTTAATTTTCGCTAGGCTCATCAGGAAAGAAAGGAGTCTTAAAACACTGTTACAGGAAAATCTCCCTTCTGATGTGCCTACGCCAAGGTAATGTTTCTCCCACTGAAACAAACTATTTTCACAGCTTGATCAGTTTATCAGCTGAAGTTAGATGTTGGCTACTCTTGCCATGAGTAGGAGGAGCATTAGAGCAGGAAGAATTACTCTTTGCTAGAGCCACTAAATCCTCCTTAAATTATTTACTTATTATTTTTAAGCCATTAATCTCAAAAAGGTCATGGGAGCAGGAAGAGAGGATGTTTGAAGAACACTAAACACAATATATTCAATTGCACATAAAACAATGCATAGCAAGTCAAAATAGCTGCCAGGTGGATTAAAAAAAAAATTAGATTTCTGTAATCAAAATTACTGAATTTAACTCCTGCATTCAAATAGCTATCAACTTCTTTATAAAACTGCAGTGCATAAACTCCCAAGAATGAAGAATATGCATACATACACACACACGTACATACAAAAATCCAAAATAACAGCAGTGTCTGGGAGTCCTATTCACGAAAGAGATTCCCTTGTGACAAAGTCTGTTTACAATCTAATATACTTGTCCATTTGATCAGTTTAATACTACTTTGCATTATACAGAGCAAAGAATATCAAGGCACTTTAATTTAAACATTAAGGAGGAGGACTTTGAAAGGAGCATGCAAAATGCTCTGTGCACTTGTGCAATCATAGGCTCTTGTTCATGCACCGAAGGACTGTTTCCTTCATGCTTGATATACAGAGACTAAGCTGAATTCCTCATCCATTTAAACTCCTGTAAGCCCCTCTCAACAAATTCAAACTCACCCAAGAACTTTTACTTAAAAATTATTAGTCACTGAAAAAAGGATTGTGTATTTTCCACAAGGCAACAGCAGTCAGCCAGGTTTGAATGTCAGATTTATAGCCTCTTAAAAGAAAGGCTGTTACTTTCATGGCTCTTAGAGAAAACAGCTGAATTTAATAGCTACACCAGGGGTGTTCCAATTATGTGCTTTACTTTTGCTGCATTACAGCACTTTTAAGAACAAAATTGCAGCCTGTGAGATAGAATTAGATAAAGTTACCTGCTGTGAAAGGTTTAGTGTTGGGGTGGTTGTATATAAAAAGTGAGGTGACAAGTATACTTGCAGGACATTTTCAAACGGGGAAGAGTTGGAGTTATTCTGCGACCTCTTTCAGCAAGCAGGTAATGTGCTTGAACAACATACCGTATTCCCTTTTTACTTATTCAGTGCTTACAGATGCTTGTATTAGAAGAAAGTTGCATTAGAAGAGACTGCAAAGAGTGCTCTGTAAGGAGCAGGGATATTAGAACAGAAATAGGCTAAACTGAATACATCTGTAAAATATCAACAGGGACTTTCATGGAACCTTTGAGGTCTAGACATTCCTAAAACGCTGAGAGAGTGTTCAAAAATCCTAATTTAGCTCATCACCCAAATTCTTCAGATGCTAAATCTCTTTATAGTGAGTTAATCCACACTTTGAGAGGCTCAAAATCCAGCTGTGGCTTACACATAGGCACAATGCCACTGGGGTGCAGAAGATCAGAATTAGAGATCCAGAAATGTAACATTTTTTTCATAATTCTATAAGCTAAAAATGGAGCTATGATGTCACTATGATCAGAAAGATGTTTTGTTCTCTCACAGGATGGAGAAGTCCAGGAAGATCTTTGTCAGTGTCCTCCTGTTTGTCATGTCTGTGGAAATCTGCTTGGCTCAACACTGGTCTTACGGCCTGCAACCAGGAGGAAAAAGGAACGCTGAAAACCTGGTAGAATCATTTCAAGAGGTATGTTCTAGACTGTAAACCAACCCTGTTGTTTTAGCTAGGATCCGTAAAAGATGCAGGCAAAAAAGGGCCGACATAGGCTTTACTGTATATGCGTATCTCTCTTTCCTCGCAAACATACATACATATGTATATACACACACACATTTTTTAAAAGTAGTAATTAGAAAGTAAATGGCATTAGGGCAAGATGACATTTGACAGCTTGCATAAAGAACAGTGCTGTCTATTGCAGACAGAGAGCTTTGGCAGCCTGCTTTAAAGGAGAGATGGAAGTTTTGAGTTCCAGGTTAAACATGATTTCATCATCTCCCTAAATTTCAGCCAATACTCTGAGGAACTGTTTTATGACAACATTCATCCACTTCACTGAGAATGTGGCAATGGGCAGCTGTCATGTGGTAACCGATTAGACAGTAAGCAATTAAATGACAAAGCAGATGAGGAAGGTTCTGTCCACCAGTGGTTTTCCCATCCTTTCTAATACTTCATGTGTAGTCCCTCGTAACAGCAGTTCTAGCATCCTGATTTTAAGTCTGCTGCAGCACAAGATAGCACCTGAGAAAGAGGTGAATTTAAGTTGTGCAGTGGAACAGTTTCATCTTCATCAGTAACTAGGGCAGCATCGCTTTAACAGAAAAATCTCCTTTCATGAAGACTGTTATCACTTCCCAATTCAGATTGCAAATGAAATGGAAAAATTAGGAGAAGTGCAGAAGACTGAATGCCCAGGCTCGTATCAGCATTCCAGGTTCAGTGATCTGAAGGAAGCCATGGTAAGTAACATGTTTTTGCTTTTATCACCATGGGAAAATTAAGGGACCGGTCCAGGCTGGGAAAGTACATGGAGGGAAGAGAAAAATAGGTGGTAGAGGAGGAGGCATGTAAATTCAGTTCACATGTGGCAATACTGGCCCTGCCCTTATTATCTGCATCATTCTCAGGTACCTCAGAGTTACAGTCCTAGGACAGGACTACATTATTCTTATGCTCCCGTTGTAGCAATGTCATTACTCACTAAATTAAAAACAAAATAAAGTCAAACACATTCTACCTTAATACAAATCTATGCAGCATTCACAGATGCTTAACTTCAAAGGCACACTTTGCCAGCTGAAGGATCAAGCCATATGGAAGCTGCTGCTCCCAATGTCCCTAGACTGGGAAATGTATTTTCCATTAGATGCTCTAAGGCAGTGACAGCACAGACTTCACATACAAACTAACTGCCATAGAAAGAATACTCTCAAGCAAAAATGTGCTCTTTAATTAATATAGCAACACCTTGATCAGACCAGATGGTCACCACTTTCTGGGAAGTCTCTGAGCTGTCCTAAAAGTTGAAACACTCAATCTGTACTTCATTTTTGAAGCCAAGACCAAAAGTTTCAAGTATGCACTCTAGCCTTTCACTGAGGAACCTGGCTTGAATAAAGGCTCACAAACTCAGTAACACAGACAGGTCAGTCTAACTTCCATTGGATTTTCACGCAGAAACTACCTAAAAAAAATTTTTTTTAGGTCATTTTTAACCCTATTTGTACTGAACATAAAATGGAATCTTTGTCCATGACTCTGGCTTCCAACAGCACTACTTGCAGAATGAAGAGCCAGCAACAGTAACTTAATATGCTTAGACCTTTTTTTTTTTACTGCAAGAGACTGTGTCAGGCAGGAAAAGACCCCAGAATAATTATCAGGATATTTGAAATGAGTACTTGCTACTTCTTGCTCACTGAGGGAAACCTGGCCTTTCTTTGCAGAGCTGAAGCCCCCCGCCCCTTTCTTAGGTTTGCTCAGAAACTGCTGGTAATCTTGCACACAAGTGTAAAAACTTCTACGCCTCTGCATCAAACACTTGGTTTGCATGTCTTATTCCTGTAGCACAGTCTGAACTATGTGGCTTTCTTATTTCTAGCTGCCTAATGACATTGAAAACAAATCAAACTTTTTACAGATGCAGCTTTTCCAATGTAACACATTCCTGGAGTTGCTACAGGAATATTATGCAATCAAAGGGGAGGTGTCTGGAAATGGTTCACGCCATGGAAAAACTTTTCAAATTATCTTCATCATTTCCTGGAAAAGCTGGTAGTGAGCACAAACAAAAATACACCTAGCTAAGACACATAAGGGAAAAAAAAAAACAGACAGCGCATCTATCCAAAACACCTCAGGCTTTCAACTGAGGTGAGAACACAAATAAATACTCAAGTAGGAGACCAGATCCAGCAGGATGTGACACAGTAACATGGTTTCCATTTGAACAGTACTAAGGTACACAGAGAATGGTAACAGGGCAACTGTGCTACTCCGTAACGACCCTGTAATACCTTTGCAAGCACCGCTTTCTTGTTTCTGGTCTTTTGGTCAACTGCTTAAGCTCACAGAGACACTCCTCATACTGATGCTTTGTGCAAGTTCATGCTTCTTGTCCTAAACTACTGTCAAAGTGTAGTGTTCGACAGCTGTTGGGTTGTACTCCAAGAACTGCTACAGTGGTGGACCCATTAACAGATGTAAAGTTGGTCATGCACTTTGGGATGAAAAGGGCCATTATAAGTGTCAGTTACATTATACTGTATGATCAGATCCATGAGCAGGTGGCAGAGAGATCATGTCGGGTCAGATTTATGTCATTCTAATCCTCCTTCCAATGGAGACCACAATATGAATATTTTAGCATCTGACCAGGCTTTAAAATTCCATCATCAAAGTTATTTCTTCTCTTTAAAAAAAGGACATGATGTGTGTTTACAGGAAAGTCTGATCGAAGGAGAAAGGAGAAACTAGACGAAAGAAGATTTAAACCCACAAAGCCGAATGGAACAATGGACCCAGAATAAAATTTCAAAGCTATGTTAAAATCAATTCCTCTTCAAATGGCCTTTGCTTAGATTGCATTATGTGAATAAATGCTCTGAAGTTGCATTTAGAGAGTAGAAGATAATTGTTGTGTAGATTACTAGCTTATACGTAGAAGAGAACACATTCCAGTCCAGTGGCTGGGACTCAGCAGCATAGGGTCTGCTTTGTGTCCTGCAATGAAAACTTGGACGTGACAGCTTTTGTTTCACATGTGCAGACAACGCCTGGACAAAGGCAGTGTCTGATCTCACTAGTCTCTGGATAAAACAGTAATACAACTTTGTTAAAAAAAACAAGAATAAACTTACTGTTGGAATGTAATTCCACTCGCACTTCAGTAGTCCATGTACGAAAGACTTTTATATGCTCTTCTTTTACTGGTTCACTCATAAAAACTACATTTATTTTAAAAAGGTATTTACAAACTTTACAACAGTTAATACATTTAAAAAAACACGAGAATTTATACACCTTGCTTTACACACTTAGTGAATCATATGTCATTTACCCGGAAAGATGCAGCCTCCCTTTCCAAAGCTTAGCTCCTACTCTTTCCTCAGTTTAAAAGCTGTATTTTTTGCTGATTCAATTGCAGATGACTAAAAGAAAAAAAAAAAAAAAAAGAGAAGGTATTTGCAGTCTGCAGAGGTGGATTTTATAACAAAAGCATCACATCCAGGATCCCAAAACATTCACAAAAACTTGTTACACAACATCCATATTCTCCTGAATTCGAGACAAACATGGCCCAAGGTTTATCATGTCATTAAACCTTTATAATACCAACAATGAAAAACTACATCAATTAATACCATGCATATTGGGGGTGAATTTCAGAGTTGCTGAGGACTTACACCCCTGTTTAAAAAACTGCACACTACGCATGTGAAAAACAGGTTCAAAGTATGCAGTCATGCATGTCCAGGGATTTCAATGACAGCCTTAACTCAGAACAGTCAGACCAATACAGCATAAACTGATGCTTTTCACTTTTTGTTAAGCTCGTCTATACTCCTTTGTGTACTGTACTCTCTATAGTGCCCAGCATACTGTCCTAAAGGTGCTTTAATGTTAATAGCAGCAGAATTAGATGAACCTCACGTGCTTTTGAAAAGCCCCTCTCCTGCCATGCAATCAATGAAATCACATTATTTGTTTACTTCTTTCTGATGTAGTCCTAGGAAAAGCTTACCCTGGTCCACTAGATAATTTGGTCTGCAACAGTAAATATAAGATAGAGAAGTTTTTAATTAAAAGAAAAAAATTAAAAGAAGGTAGCAGTAACAGGTCAGGAATGTTTTCACTATAAAAAAAGATTACAGTTAAATTACAGACATCTTAAACCTATTATTTCCATTTACAATTATAAAAATAAATAAGGAGAGAAAATCTGAGCTATTATCACTACAAGTCTAACTCACTGTTAATCTGTGGAACATACACTGGGCTGCACAGTGCGAAGGTTATTAGATGCAGGTTCTTAAAAACCACTGCATATACTCTACAGTATTTTCTGCCACCGCAGATTACAGAGCTGTTCTCACTGGAATCGGTGTCCTTTCCTAATGCAATAATCCACTGAAATGGAAAGCTGTCTGTTTCTCTCTTCCCCTGACATGGATTAGAGCCTGTAACATTTTTAAAGGAATTTATCACAGCATGACAAATTTTAATTAAAAGCTCCAGAAAACAAGTGTTGAGCATATTTCTCCAAAGAAAAAAAACCCTCTAAGACTTGAAATTTAACACTAGCTTTGAACAGCATGGCTATGAAATGGGATTAGATTTCGTCTTCTCTGCAGACTGGATATTTAACTTTGAGATTTGTTTTATTCAAAACTATGAATTGGGTAGAAATGCTGCTGTTTGCTTTCATTTCTGGTATGCAGAGATGACATCATTATGGACTGTTCTCCTACTGCCACTTTTAGCCCTTCAGTTTAAGAGACTTTAGATGACATTTCCAAAAGCATCTAATTAACATGGAAAGATGATTCTCATTTTGAAAACTAAGTAGTGAGACCTTACATTGTTTCTGAAAATTAAATCTCAGAACTTAAGTCAGGTAGGTACCATAGCAAAGAAGAGAACACTTAGAAAAATCAGGGGTCTGGTGGGATTTCTTGTAAGAGTGTCGGCACTTAATTCCACTTAATTAAAATCAGTCAGGCCCCATGCTTATTCGCACACTTAAATGCCCAACTGCGTTTAAAAATCTGACACTTAGACGACAATGCTTTTTTCTAAAACTGGCATGAAGCCCTAAATCATTTAGGCACAGTACAGAAATTCCATCTTGTACCTCTAAGCAAACTATGCTGACTTATATCAGCTAAGAACGTAACTCTTCGCATACCACAGTCAGTAATACATTTAAGAAAACTGAACGACTATTTGTGAGTTAGTTTGCCAAAAGGCAAGAAGGAGAAGCAGGAACAGTTTACAGCACTTCAGACTCTGGAACAAAAATAACACTAAGAAAGGAAAAATCTCCCAACCTTAAACCCCTTTTGGCATAGAAAATTTGCCAATGAAAACACCCAAAATATCTCGGGAAGGGAAATCTCCTCACTCTGTACTCTTTGGGCATCAGCTGTTCCTTTCCTTCCAGTTAGGGTGATGCCTCAGCTACAACAGTCTCCAACTGGCCAGACAACAAAGGCAGCAAGAAGAAAAAGCCTGAACTGTGTGGACGGTATACCAAGATAAAGTTTAAGGAACCTGCCAGGTGAGACCGTGCAATTGCAAGGCAGAGCATACAGGAAGACATCATCTTCACTGCTTTTTAAGGAGCTGGCTCCATAGTAAAAGCCAAAGATCGAAGTACAAATGAAAGGCCTGTTTCAGCCACTGCTCAAATTGCACAAAGCACTGAAGCTTCCTAGACTTCTGCCAGCACTGGCATGGGTAACAGCTTGCTCTCCTGACTCCCTAGGTGACTTGGGCATCTTGCTAGCTCAGGTATTAGCACCTAGGATCAGCACACAGGAGAGACAGCAACTGTTCTTATTCCTAATGGCTGGCGGCTGTATGATCCAAGGAAGAAAAGGAGGGGAGAGGATAATTAACCACTTACATGCTAAGTACTCTGTTCATAAACCTAGTCTATAAAACTGCAAAAAAAAGCAGTCAGAACCAAGCCCCCTCAAGTTAAAGAACATTATGTAAAGGGTCATTGAAGATCAGCTGAAAAATTCTTCCCAAGGTCAGACTTCCTCCTGTGAGTTTTTTTTGCATGGACTAGTTCTCTCCTCCAGAAAAAAATACCTGCTGAATGTACAAGATACATCTACGAGTTGAAGTTATTAAAGCAGACCAAACAGGTCGGGAAAGAAGAGTCAGAAAAGTCACTTGGAACCAAAATACCCAAACCTGATAGCTAGTTTGTTTACCCACAACAGACAAACCATTAGCTGCCATTCCTGCAAAGTCTCCTTTGCTTCTGCTGACTTAGCAAAGGAGCTAAAAGCAAACCTGCTCTGAAAAGGAAATGCACCTAAGAATGAGGTAACAGGCAGATGTCGAATGGGGAAAGGCACCGAATTAACAATAGGTGGTATTAATACATACTTCACAATACATACTTTTCTACAGTTCAGACCTGCTGTTCCACCTAAAGCAAAATTCTCACTGAAGACAAAAAGTTCTTTTTTAAGTGAAAAGTTTCAGGGGGTCCTTTAGTTCATGTGTGCAGTGGAAGGAAGACAGTGGTTAGAAGAAGAGGAAGAAGTGGACAAGAAATGAAGGACAAGAAAACCCTGTGGTTTTCAAGTCAAGCAGCATCTATGTCCAAGAACATAATGTGGAGCTGACAAGTCCTACAATGCACTGGAGAGAGGGGGTGAACCATGGTCAAGTTGTCCAGAAAGGTTTCAAAGATTTCCCCTGAGAAGGCAACAGCCCAGAAGGCAGTTGCATGTGCGCTACAGCAAACATTACTGTGGATGTATGTGACGTGACTGCAGTGCAACTTCCAAAATGTTTCCAACCTGTTTTGTGATGGGAATCCAATATGACCCTTTGATGAAAGCAATCTGTTTTACAGAGCCATGCAGGCAGCAAAGCAAATGCAGCTTCTGTAGGTTTCTTTAATTGGAGTCACACTGAAGCCAAAGGAATGTATAAGAACAAAAGAAAGGACTACTTCTGTCTGAACAAAAAACCCCTAGGGTTTCACTGGGTTTGTTCTCCCTGAAAAACGTTTTGCTGAGAAAAGCTTTCCTTAGGTTTAATGAACTTCAATTTATCAGTAAGGTAATGAAATCCATTTAAGTCATGTGAGAAGAGTAACAGTGCAGTGTCCTGCAAAAAAACCCCAACCCAACATTATTCCTATTTACTACTGTGAGCAACAGCCTCAGCAGGGTTTTTAGTGGGTCTCCCCAACTCCTACCAGATAATCAGAAGTTAAATGACACTTACAGTTAACAAGCAAAATTATTTCCTTAGAGCCCATCACAGAATCTTCATCAATACCGATGATAAATAAACAGGCTGCAAGCTGTAACCAAACAGCCAAAGTTTTGTATAGGTTCAGAAATAAACGGGTCCCTCTTTATGATGAGTTTTAACAAACTCTGAACTTTCCAAAAAGTTTGAATCTAAACTTTGCAGGCAAACTCCCACGCTTCCTGAGTTCCACAGTGAAAGGGAACAACAAGAAGTGGATTTTTTTTCCCTCCCTAGAAAACTTCAGTGAAAAATAACAGCCACGACAAAATGTATGTTTATAAATAGGCCAGTCACAGGCAGAATAGCGTGGTAAAATACTTTGCCTGAACGTGACAAGAAAGTAATTCTTACAAATCAAGAAAACCCCAAACTTCACTGGCTCTTCTGCTGCTGGGAAATGTGGCATCAACAGGCAGCTACAACTTTGGGGGGGATATATAAAGAAAGTTTCAATTATGTAGCTTGACAAAAAAACCCTGAAGTTCTTCACAATGCATTAGTTCTGAAACAGGCAGTTTAGGAAAGTCCTGCTCCAGACAGCAAAAAAAGAGCTGCTGTAACTATCTTTGGAGGTGTCTAGGTCTTCTACAAGTAGAACACAGTAGAGATACACTGCAAGAGAATTTTAAACTGAATTGTCTTCTGGCTTAAGTGCTGCACAAACTCCCTGTAAGCCTGCTGCAGAAGAGCAAAGTCCCCACCCCAGGGCTGCAGCCCTTCCAACAGAGCTCAGACACAAGGAGCCCTGAAAGGTGCAAAATGGATCTCCCAACTTTAGGAGTATTAATCACAAATGGTGATGTCTTGGTTTTTACCAGCAAGATTTCAGTGGCGGCTCAGGCACAGAGGAATGCTGTGTCTAAGGCCCATCTGGTCCATAAATAACAATGATATTTGTGTTTAATTTTCAGTCACTATGCAACTCTGAGGACAGGCTATTCTAACAGTGTGCAACAGCTTTTTTCTACATGGATCATGTGAATTTAAAAACATTAAAACCTAAGATCATGTAATTTTTTTCTCTATACAAATAGAAAGTCTGATGCTGACATCCAGACAGAGCAGGGAATAAATAACTAAAATAAAACTTAAACAGATTATCCCATCCTCCAAGGAAAGAAAAGCTGCAGAGAGCTGGAGTAACCCAAGCAACAGGAAACTAGGAGGTTAATTGTCAAGTTTTTCACATGCATCCCAGATCTAAATGGCTCCTTAAGGTGTAATGGCTGTTAAAAACCTAGATCAAGGGAGGCTATAAAACAAAGTGCAAGTACTGCCACAAATGGGTGCAGGAAAAAAAAAAGAGGATGAGAATTATTTATATTTGTGTGAATTTGCCCAGCCAAAATAAGGTTACAGTTACTATCAGACGTAAGCTCCTGAGGTCAGGATGTGTAACCAGTTTTGCACACTCCATCCTCTCAAAGTTGCTGGTACCAGTACAGTGCTGGCATCAATGCAGCTTCTACTCACATGCTCACAGGAGAGATGCAACTTTTTACACCCTATTAAAAAGCACAAAGATGAAACATTGTACCAAGTCTCAGATGCAAGCACAAGCCAAGTAGGTAACATAATTCAGGGAGGAATATCAACTGCTCTGTAGTGTTAAAACCAGAATCAACAGTGAAATTATGACAAAGTACTGGTGAACCTAAACTCTCCATTGGGAGTGAGCAACTGCCACTACTCAAGCAGTGATGGTGTAAGGCAGAACGTCTGCACTTCATCTTAAATACATACGATGACTAGCAGAAAAAAAGACTTCTTATTCTGCTAACAACGCTCACTCAGGTCTCTGCCTGCAATCAAGAATCTTAGGAGACTGCACATCATACACCAGCACCTGACATCTCAGGACCCGACACTTCACAACTTAGGAATGGCTTCGATCTGTTTCACTTCATGCAAATCAGGGCTTGGCTATGCTACAGGGACAGAAGGAGGGATCGGTGCATAAATACAGCTGTAAAGCTGTAATGAACTTACGTGAAAATACTGTAGGACACATCTCATACTGGTGTGGCTTACATTGCTTCAAACACTGGTGCAAATCACTACTGTGAAAGATTTACACTAGGAATGAGCTGCTGAAATTGCATCAGTGAAAAAACTCGGGACAGACAAGAATTCCAGGAGAGTGACGACTCCTGCTAAGTAATTAGTGTCTCAGTACTTGCAAGGTAAACCAGAGGTTAGGGAATACAGTCACAATAACAGTTCCTTTTGGTATTTCCCAAAGAAAACTCCAAGGGGAGTGAACAGAACGGCAGGTGAGATCACTAGTCTTTAGGGTCAGAGAGCCTCAGCATGTCAGTAAAAAGAAAGCAGCCATTTCACTCTAGGTGCTTGCTGTTACACCAGCAAGTGATGATCCTCACTGCAATCCTTGCTCTGAAGAGACAACGCTGGATTTTCTGGTTTTTGGGGGTGGGGGGGGAGGTTTGGCTTCACGTCTGCTCGGTAGTGGTGGAGCAACCTGGGAAGATAAAACAAAAACACATAGAAAAATAAACCATTACAAGCAAGTTAAGACATTTTGCTTTACCAAACAAGAAATCCGAAAGGTCCTGTAGTACTTGATGTTTCTTTTGGGACCAAATCTTCAAATTCAGCCTCTCAGTGCCACACGCAGTCGATGAGAGGGGCAACCAAGGACAGATCACCGGGAGATAACAGAAGCAGAAAGGTTTTAGTTGCTAGAATACACTTTAGCTGCAGATATACTTTAGTTGCTTCTGACCTGAAGCCTAACTTTGAGTTGGAGCCATTTGCCCCTCTGTCCCACATTTTGTTTATCAGTAAAATGGCAATAAATTAATTTCCCTCAGGGTTTCAAAATTCAACTATTTTTATCTTGCTGGATTGATGAGTTGCACCAAATAGGGGCCAAAATGATGTAAAATGCTTCCAAATCAGAATTGTGAAACTAATGGCATCAAATTGCAGCAAGCAAAGAGTTCTACTAAAGCAAACCACAGCCTTCCAGCCCAGCACAGAGGCTTGTATGGTGTTCCTTGTTCTTGCAGGAAACTGTACTAGTGGGTTCCTTCAAGTTGGCTTTCTGCTTGTTTTAAGGGGCATCCTGTAAACAACTGAGATGTGAAAGGCCAGGTGAACAAGAAGCCTGTGTGTCTCACCTCTTGCTTAGCTGAAACTGCCAAGATTTCAGGACTATGCTAACTGAAGGAGGAGGACAGAGTCAACTTTACAACAACAAAGTAACAATACCCTTCAGAAAATACTTTTACAATCTCTCTTTACAGACTTTCGAATCCTTTCCATTTGGCTGCAAGCCAAGGTCAATGTTGCAAACCAGAACATGTTAGTAATTAGTTTTCTTACAAGAGTCAAGGGAAGGAAGCTCTTTTATTAATCCTCTTCAACCAGTGACTCCCACAGCATCCCTACAGCTGGCATATTTCCATCATTCACGCCACCTACAGCAGCTATACTGCTCCTTTTCAGAGGCACAGTCAACCATGAGCAAGTGAAGGGCAAAGTAGAAAACCTCCTATTTATCCCATGCTTCAAGGCTTTATACCAGTGTTGTATCTCTCTCTAACAGAATTAAGTGATCAGCTGTTTTGTTTTCTTCCTGTGCTGTCAGAGGCAACATATTTTGTTACGTGTGATCATTCTTTAAATTCTTTTTGGTCAAATTCCAGTTCATCTCACTAAGGTACTCCATAAATCCTCTTTTCAAACTGGACTGGGGAAGACATCCATCCCTTTCACAGTTACAGAAGGATGCTTTCTGTTGCTGCACACTGGTGAGCAATTACAGTCTCATACGAGAAGCACCTACATTTCAGGGGCAGATGAAATGATTCTGACCCAATGACCACACTATTTGCATGTTAAATATCTGCAAGCCGTTTGGAATCCCATAGGATAAGAGAAACATTAGTGATACAGCATAAAAAAAAAAAAAGGAAAAAAAAAAAGGGGGCAATTTGATGTTCCTAGAAGGAAACCAACTTCATGAAATTGAGAAAAAGACTGTGGCTAAGATGGTGATATAATACAGGCTGTTTTAAGTGACTGATAATGCACACCTTGAAAAATCAGATTCTTCTGAGCTGAGGACTCAAAAGGAGACATCATTTCTGAAAATGTGTGAATTTTTTCCCTTCTTTTTCAGGACCAGATTACTGCGCTATTTTACATTGATCATGTTTTTGAAACTTTTCAATCATTGTGCTTGTTTGTTTTCAATATATCTTCCCACCCCCATACACAGTTTGCCTAACCAAGGACAACATAACTCCCACTTCAGAAAAAGGAGCTGCACTTAATAGCCTTCTCTGGAAGCAAAAAACTTTTTAATTTTTTGTGGTTTCAGGGAGTGAACCAGTAAAATGATTAGACAAGTTTCAAGTAGCACCACCCTAGAAGCAGCTTGGAAAATTCCACTGTTGTCTCTTTCTCAAAAGCTGTTTTCCAAAAAAATGTCAGCTCTCATTTCCTTACCTCCACAGAATTCCTCGGGTTGCTGTTCTCATAGGGTTTGCTTTTGGGCGGAGGTGGGGGTGGGGTGCTCTGTAAGCTAGCAGTTGCCAATCCATCAGCTTGCAATGAGGGAAAACCTAGAAGCAACAACAATAACAAGACAAGACATTAAAGTAGGCGGAAAAGGAACAGGAAATAGGATTGACCATGTCGAATTTTAAGAGAGATTCATTTAATATCTTGTGCTTTCCATCTGCTAACAGTTCTCTGCTTTAGCAGCTAAACCTGAATCGATATGTCAAAGCAGAGTCACAGTTGTATCTCCCCTGAGTTCAAAATGCCCAGAACAGTTCTATCTTCATCAAATGAATCTAAGCTTATATGAAAAATACATGCCTGAGAGAACAGAAAATTGAATCCATTATCACATCTGCAATGTTCAGTGGGGTTTCCTTTCAGCCTGGGCCTCAACCTGAGAATTCACTTTGATTTTAACTCCAGTTGATGGAGTAGATAAGTACACAAACTTCAGAAGAATTCCTGGGAAGCTGTCCTGCTACTAACGGCAATTAAAACTGCTTGCTAAGTAGAAGAGTAAGGTTTCACATTCCTTCCACAGATCTTTCTTCATATAGTATTCCTGCATTTGTTTGTGTTTCTGGTTGTCTCCCCACTCCATACCCCAGCCTGATACGTATTTTTTGGCTTTAATCCTCTCACAGCAGTTTTATGCTAGTTTAGTTCATTATCTACACTGGATTCCGAATTTATATGCATATAAGAGGAAGGACAGTCAGGTCCTACATACAAACTTCTGGTCCTTTAAAAAAAGAGCAGTAGAGTGAGAAATGCAATGACAAGCAAGGAAGTTGTCAGTGGTGATATTACAGTTGTATTTTTACCTTAGCCATATTTATATGTTGCTTCAAAATTAACCACAGAGCTTAGTGGATATTCAAGGAAGGTAACTGCACACATTATTCATTTTGCCAATTCTTCAAGATAAATTCCGTCTCTTTCAACATTTATTAGCTGAGTTTCCAAGCTGCAGAGCAACTTCTCCTGAAACTTTCTGCCACGTGATGGGAGTTATTGTTCATTAATTAACAAAGCCTTCAGGGCTTGCCCAGAAAATTTAGCCATAGAGCTGATCAGAAATACCATGCTGGATTGATGCGGTTCCATCCAGTGAATTCACAGGAGATATTCCTCTAGTATGTGCTGTAACCACCTGACTTGATGCATTTACAAGCATCTACATCGACTGCATGTGATGTTCGCCTTTGAGGTTTAATATACCTTCCCACAAGTCAATACAGGAGAAACCAAGAAAGAAATTGAAAAAGATAAAATTTGTTCTCTGGAATTCATCTGATATACTCATTTTAACAAGTGGTATGTAAGTCACAAGTACGATTGTAGTGCCTTTGATAGCACTGCCAAATTCTGTTATCTGACAAAAATGTCTACAAACATTAACAGCCTAGAGCCACTTTCTGTGAACTACTTCAGAGCAGTTCTTCCCTCCCTCCTCCCCTCCCCAGTGAGGTTATCTCAGCAAATATATAGTAATTCCTACTACTGCAGGTACTGCCCTGAAGGATGTGGCATTTACCCTGTAAAATAACTTACTTTGGGTTCTTGGGGTTTTGGGAGTGATCGGTGGTGGGCTGCAAGGCGTTGATTGCTGGAGTGAAGAACCCTGAAGCAATGTCAGTCTGTTGTCTCCTAATTGAAGACTCTTTGGCCTTTGTGCTTTTCCTGACATGCCCTGGTTTAAACAAAGAATAAACAAAACCTTTAGAAGTCAGCAAGGTTGCTGCACACGTATCAGATAGTCAGACCTGTCACAAAAGCATCAACATGCTCCAGAAAAGCCATGCATAAGACAGAAAGGTGCATTCAGGTGAAACATGAGTGAAGCCACTGCACTGGTTAAGCCAAGCCATGTCAAAAGGCATACACTGTGCTTCTACGACACATCTAGTTTTCTGTCGGACCTTACTAACTGGGTAGCAATAGTAAACTGTTTTTAACAACCTTAGTGTATTAACTAAGAAGGGAATACATCAGGCTGAAAAACTGCTGCATTTGACTAGCAGTTCTGTGAACTAAATGTGCGAGTGTGTGTGTATGGGGGGGAAGCCTTTCCAAGAACAAAAAAAAGATGAAATTCTGGGTGCAAGTCAGTATCATCCAGCACCTTAGGGCGGTGAAACGAGTCTATTTCAGGCTTTACAGAGCAAATCTGTTGCATTTGGGACTCGGGAGATGTTGTTCCAGTTCCTTCCAGTGTCACACATGTCCTCTGTGCTCTTCACTCAAATCATGATGCCATCAGAATATGGTTCCAAGAGTCCGGTGCATTAATATTTTGGTCTTTTTAAATATTAGTTTATTGCTTTATAGAGAAGGCTGTCACTTACACATGTAATTAAACTCACTGGGCTCTTTAAGAGATCAATTCTCCATCATTGAGCAGTTCAGTATTTCTCACTGTGCAGAAGGGACCACCCATTGGTGTACAGTGAACATAAAACTTAGAAAGACCAAAGCTGCTGGACATACAGGAGGCCTTTGGTTCCCTCTGGCTTTCTAGCTCCTAAGCATCTTAGTCAAGAGCTGCATAAAATCAGTCTGTCCAATTCTTGTGCTGCACTATGCAGCGATGGAACAGGCCAGCTATAAAAAACAGCTTTCTCTGTACTGTGCAATATTCTTAAGCATGAATATAACCCTTGACTGCTCAATTGCTTCAGTAAGCTGATCACACATGTAATTTGCCCTCAGAGATATGGGGAAAGAAGGGAGGGTGGGTGTTCTGTTTTGCATCTCTCAGCTCTCTGCAATGCAAAGTCTTGGACAGACATGCCTTAGTGTCCTAGTGAAGTGGTCAATAAAAATGGCCTTTCTCCCAGATCTTTTCCCTCTAGTTTTACTTAATAAAGTGATCACCAGCTGACATCAGTTTGTGGGTTAAACCCATTTAATTCAACAGCAGCTCTTCCAGAGGCAGAGGGCCAGGCCTCCTGAACCACTAATATTTACAACCCCAGATTTTCCTCTTGAGTGAAAAGCCTGTCAATACCAAATGACATGATTCTAGGACCACAGTTCCCCTTTTTATAAATATTCTGCAGACTCCAAGTGCTGGCAGCATCACTCAGATTTGATGAGAATTCCTGAATATATAGCAGCATAACCTGTTCCTGCCAGATTCAGTCGAGATCTTGGGAGAGAAAGGGAAATAGAAGAACTCATGTTTTCTCATTATGTACGCTGCCTGTGTTAAGTCAAATTAGCATCACTGAGCCACCAGCTTAAATACTCAGATGCCTAATTCTTGCATACTCTCTGACAGTTAACATAGTCTTTGCATAAATCAGGATAATACTCCAAGGTCATGCAACTCTACTTTTGGGCTGAAACTTATCCGTTTGTATGAGGTGATCATTCTGAATCCCACTGTCAACCTTAATGCCTAACAGTCTCCAATACATTCCTCATTACAACACTCCTGTTGGGGTATAGATTTATTCCTCTTTTGCAAATGACTTGCTCAAGGAGTAAACACTCCTGCCCTCACGCAGGAGGTCTGGAGCAGGATACACACTGGAAGAATCATTTTTTCAAAGTCCCAAGCTGGTGACCTAACTCTTTTCAACTCCCCAGTCTATCAAACTGATCTTCACCTTGCAGTACATTTGATTTGTGCAGTGATGCTGACTGATAGCAGCTGAACATCTGGCTTGCCAGCTGGATTTTTGAGTGGGCTAGCAGCATCTGCTTGCTCCAACAAAAACAGAACAATTCTGCATGATGCTGAGTGCATCACGCAGTCCTCCACTCCTACAAGAAATGAGGGCACTGAGCACCTAGATGAAACACCAGTGCCTCATGCTTCCAGTTTGTACTTTAAGCCAAACTGCAGTTTGGTCTGTGACTCAAGTTTTCCAAATAAAAAAGCAAGAAGTACTCAGATGACCAAGGCTTTTGGTATTTGAACCTCTCCCACTATTTAATGAAGTTCCCAATGACAAGCATGGCTGAAAGCAACGGAAGCACTAAAACCTCCTGCTGTGGATTTTGTTATTGCTTTTTTTTTTTTTTTTACCATTTTGGAAGTCAGTTCCGTTTCTGTCTCCTTCTCTACAATAACCTGAGACTTGCTAATACTCCAGTCCTTCCGCTTGAGTTTGCTAATCCGGTTATCACCATCATCTTTCACGGGCAGTTCCTCAGCTCTGGAAGCTGCTGATACTCTTCTTTCCAAGAGAGGCTCCAGAATAGATCTGTGGCCCACATCAAAAGAGTGAAAAAACATGCAACATTACTCCATCAGACATTTAAAGCACTGTCTGTTAAAAAGCTGTGACCTCTTAGTTTGCATAAGAGATTATTGTGAAAAACTGAGTTATGACCATGGAATTTTTCAGTGAGATTTGTGCTTCTAAGTTACCCTAGCAATTTTGAGGATTATGTCTTAGGTAGAAGGTAAAGTGTGATCTACTTGCAGAGGGAGCCAGACCTGCATTTTATGCTGAACCCTGCCACCACGTCTGCTGTGTGACCTTAAGCAAGTCAGCTAGACTCCCTGTTTATCACAGATGCAAACTAGATGTACAGAGAAGTAACATCCGGAAATGTTTCCATGTGTGGCAGCTCCTTTTAATGCCATGAATGCAGCTGCAAACAGGTAAGCAGAACAACTACTATATGACTATGCACCTCTTTGCAGACCACAGACTAAATTACCTTGTAGTATCTTACACCTCTGTTTTCCAGCATTCCTGGGAAACAGAAATAGTGTGCATCTGAAATACACTGCCTCCATCCCTCTTCAGTATCATTTAGGTGACTGCAACTCCAGAAACAGACAGTCGTGTAGGTTCAATTCCCAGAACTATCCCTAGCTGTGCTTCAAATTCCCTATCTGTAAAATGGAATAACAATATTGGCTTCCATTTAAAGTTTTAAATGTGTAGGTACTACTGTTGTGTATGGAATAGATCGTCTTTTAAGAGTAAGCAATTCCTGCAAAGGCATATCCCAACTCTTGCAAATCACATGTAAAGGCTGATTACTAACCCGTCTGAACCTGGTCTGGAAGAAGTGCTATCAGATGATGTGGAAGATGTAGAGACCACAGAAGACGCCACAGATGTGACAGAGAGCCGTCTCAGCGTGGAAGACATGATATAGGGCAACACGACAGAGCCTGACCTGCTCTGTTTCCTTTCAGTGAGGGAGGGAGGCTGCAGACAAACATGCTTGCGATAAATCATGTAACACTAACTCACTCACAAGTGGGAAAGGGAAGAGTTTGTTTAAGGCAAAACACTAAACAACCAGGTACGCTTACCAAAGTTATCACACCATACCGCTTCTCCACCTTCTTCTTCAGCTCTTTGAAACAGGCTGTCAGTCTGTCATGCAGAGGCTTCAGCTGTTCTGTCAGCTTCTCACCATGGATTCTAATCCCTTCTGCCAACAATGGCATCTGAAAGGAGGAACAAAATTAAGCTACAAAAGGACAAATCACCTGTCCTGTTCCAGGAAGGAATTTTCTATGTATGTTACACATCTCAGATACACTCAAAGGACTTAAATCAACGTGTTTTGACTTTGCAGAGGCAAAAAAAAGCAATCGTACAGTAAGGAAGCTCAGCTACTGACTCATAACTTGTGACACTGCAGTAACTTGACTGTTTGTTTGAGTTCCATGTGTTGAAGAAACATGAACACTTTCCCCATCTATAGCTATGGTTCCCTCTTCCCCACTCAGGTTCCATATCCTGCTTTGGAAAACACCGTGTTTGGAAAAAAGCATGTTAAATATTGGAGTATCACTTCTTAGCCCCCAAAGCTGTATGATTGTGAGGTAGCTTTAACTGGGCTCTGTTGTGTGGAAATATGTAAAAACTGGTCTGCAGGGATGCAATTTGCACTACAAGAAAACAGGGAAATGTTTCATTGCTATGCAGGTCAAAATAGACAACTTTCAATGATGAGACTGACAAAACATTAGATCTGATGATTTCATGAAAAGGTAACGGATATTTTGTTACACTCATGAGGGAAAAAATCTATGCCACGTTGGCAAATATTTCAGAATAACATTTCAGAGCAACACAGGTACATGGAACATTTTAGGCCACAATTTTAGAGTACAGCAGTTTCCTTAAAATATAAAACCAACTGTACACATGTCCAGATTGTTCTTATAGCATTTATCTGCATCATCCTCCAAAACAATGATGCTGGAAAAACATCTGCACTCACACATAGTGCTTCCACTTCTTTCCCAATACAATACCTGTAGAGCAATTAGTTGCTTAAGCAGTTCAATTTTATCTTGATCTTCAGGATGTTCTTGAAGATACTTCTCTGTGAAAAAGGCCTGAAAGCAAAGAGAGAAGATGATAGAGACATTACGTTGCTTTCACAGTTAACTCTGAATGAAAGATCCCTGTGCTTTAAAAGCAATTCATTGCCGTTATTCCTCACATTTAAAACAAATTTTGCTATCTCCCTGACATAAAGCTGAGGGACAAAGAACCATGGTTATTTATTGAGAACTGGGAACAAAAAGATACTTTTTTTGTTAAAAAAAAAACCAAACCAAACTGTTTTTTTCAGTGAAACAGGTAAAAAAAAGTTGCTTAATCTGAAGGGTTTTCTTCAATTCCAATACCCTTCTCATAAAGCAGTACTGATTTGAATAACCAAGGTTACATTACTTATCGCTCAAATATGAGTAGCAGATCTCATCTCTTGAGTTCTCATTTCAAAAAGTCTCTTTAATTTTTAGCATTCAGGGACCTACAGTACACAATGACATGCAGACAACCTCAACTGCAGAAAGGTGAACAGGGCATCTCCTGCCTGCAATTTCCTTAAGCTCTATGATTTAAGCCCTTAAGTACAACATTTTCACATGGGGCTTGTTACAAAGATTCAGTAGAAATAAAGACTGTGTTGAGATTTTTGACTCACAGTTTGATTCAACAAAGCACCTTTAGTCTACACTTCTTATGTGTTTACCTTTAATCAACAGAATCTGGTATCGGTTTAAAGTTGAACAAACACAAGTACACTTTCCTGGACTGAAGCGTTAAAAATGTGCCAATTCACATTATGTGCTACAGTGTATTGCATTGAAATGTATCACAATTCCTGGGGAGAAGAATTTAATTTTTCTTTTTCCTAGATAAAATCCCTAGTAACTTTTCATTTGGTTTTAAAATGCGTCTCTGAACTATTTCAGCCTCTGCATATATTTCTGAGTTCTGCGTTGCATTAACTGGACTGTATGTACAAGTGTTTATAGGCCTAGTGGTATGATTCTGAAAAAGGCTGATGTCAAGAGGAGGTTAGCCTGTGAAAAGACTGCCGGGTAGGTCCCAGCGGATTTTTCTTGAAAGTGTTTAATTATTGCAAGAAGAAAGCGCATGTTAAAAATGCAGACTTTGGCTTTTGGCTACAATGAAACAATTAAAACTCAAGATTTTAGCCGCCCACAAAAGCCAAATGTTCTGTACTGATCTTCAGTTGAAATAGGAAAATATGAACCAGAAATGAGTATTTCCAGATGTGGTTACAGATACTTTTGTGTTTCCTAGTTTTAACTGCTTTCCCACTTTCGTAATTCTAAACTTTATGTCAACCTTAATTCATAAAATGGGACGATTTAGGGCCAAATTCAGCCCTGGCAAAGTATGCTGATTCCAGAGGAGTTGCAGAGTTAGACCCCCGATAAATCAGACCCTCTCCCATTTAACTTTTGCACTTCATTTCATGTGACTGGAACACATCTGAGAAGAATTAAATGTGTTTTAACACCATCCATTCAATTTATGGAAATAAGCAATATTATTTTGTGCTGGGAATACCATCATTAGATACTGGGAATAAACAGCTTAAGTTAAACATCACAAAAAAAGAAGAACATACACTGTTCAACTGAAGTCAACTGAATAAACCCGGATAGGAAATACTGCTTTTTCCCTGAAATACATGCTCTTTGCTGCAAGACTCCAAAGACAGATTATCTGCTGGAAAGAGAAATCCTCATTTGCCTTACCATTCTATGTTAATACAATGGAGAAACGCTAGTTCTTTTGCTTTTCTTTGCTACTTGCACAGTTCATTGGGCTGACCAAGCACCTCAATGCCCCCACGAGGTAGGATCATGTTATTATCACCACTGTAAATGAGGCCCAAAAGAGCTGGATCATTCATCTCTGCTACAATGCACTAAACTAAAACTAAACGCTAAAGATGGGGGGGTTTCCACCTTGCAGTCTAGTGGAAATCTCTTATCTTTGTTCTTTTCTCCTCCTCTTTGAGCTCCCAACACACAGATACATCTACAGAACACACTATGTCTGAGTAATAGCTGAAAACTGAACTTGAATCTCCCATGATTCAACCCAGGTCTTGAACATTGCAGAGGTCAACAGACTGAGCTACAGATAAATGTGAAAAAGACCTTTTCATAGTTGGTATATCCCCCCATGACCGCTGGGTCCACAATCCCATTCAGGAGCATAGAGAGAGGATGTACAGGAAGACTCCGGTCCCAGACATGCTGTTGGACAATGTTGCTGATTTTCTCATTGGTTAGCTCCATCGTTTCTATGGCGTTCTCCAAGGGGCTGATCTCTTCCTGATGGAAAGAAGAAACAGAATAAACCTTCATTTGCCTCCACTGAATATGAAGTAACTCCTCATATATGAATGGCAGCCCAATAGTCTCCAGCAGAGGATTTTGGACCCCTGTGCTAACCAGCTTGCCATTCAGATATGAATGCAAGAATGATCTTACACTTTAACCTGAAAGAACAACAGTTTAGGACTTGGCTGCTGACTGCGGAATATGTTACAGAAGGAACCGCTCTCCCAAGCATTATACAGTCAACGTAGACCTTTGCTGCCTTGGGTAGAGCTGTCTGCAGAATGGCATAAAAAGACAAGCACACTGAAGAAGATACACAATTTGCTTTTATCTGAAGCAGAAGTTACTGATGTGCCACATCCAACAGTGGAAGAACTAGTAGTCCTAACTGTTGCAAGACTCTCTACTTCATGAAAGATTGGAGGGTATGAGACCCAGCCCATATGCAGAACTCACTGTTGTAATCTGTTTGACTTCAAACCACTTGAGGATGCCTGGAAATGAATATGCTGTCGTGTAAGTTGTCCTTTCTATCCACATATTCTAGATAAAGAAGGAAAAAAATCCAAGATGTAAGGAAAATATTGGTCTTGCAATTCAATTCTCTTCTGCGGTAGAGCACAGAACCAGGCTTCCAGGACTAGCTGGCAGAACCTACACAATGATTTCACCTTCACTAACTGAGATGGAACCCGGTGTTTTTGGCAAGAAATACCACCTCTACTATTTAAATGGCATCAACATTAGCAGCAGTAGGCTGTTATCCTCCATGTGGACCACTATTAGCAGGACTGCGATTATGGCATATTTAGCCAGAGTTATATGCAACGTGCCTAACCACTACACATAAGCAACAGTATGCGTCATAGGCAGCAAGGAAACATGCTATAGTAGTACACCCAAGGCTCACTCTCCACTGCAAATCTTAAAAGTTGGCCTGAAGTTGAACTGATCCTTCATAGTTAGAGGCTGGCCTCCTTAAGGACAGCTACATCATTCGCAATCTAGCAGACACACAGCTGTACTCTGTAGGAAGCTGTGGTTAGACTGCACAATATTTATGGATTCTACATCAAGGATTTTGAACGTTTCAACTTCAGCTATAGAGCCCCTTGACATTATCACACTGGCTTTATGTAAAGATTGCAATGCAAAGTGCAGCCCTTTGTTTCTCCTACATTTTAATAGCAAAACTCCATTGCCACAGTGGACGTAAAAAAAAATAGCAACAGTGTTGTTCAAAATGCCACCAACAAAATAAATAATTGCATAGAACCATTTTCTCATAGCACAGACACCCAAGCCGACAGGCATCAAAAGCAAAGTACTCACGGCAAACTCATTGTCTGGATCTTTTTCTCCTTTCCTGACCGGTCGGGAGTGTGTGAACTGCTGTACCTCATTTGCTCTGTAGTAGCTAGAAAGAAGCAGAGTAAATGGTGAGTTTTCTCACCTCCCACCCTCCTTACATAAATGTTCTTCTGTTTCCTCTCAAAAACAACCAAGTTTAAACTGGACTGTGAAGCAATTTTACACAAGACACAAAGGCACTCCACCTTGTGCCTAGGCTAGTTGAGAAAAATACAGAGGAAAAGTTGAGGGAAAAGAAATTACTTTAAGATCTGTTCAGGAACAGGTTTATCTTTATAATTAGGTGGCAGGTTCATCACAGGCTTCACAATAAAGCACTGCACATCTGAGCAGCTATAGTTAAGGATGAAAAACTATGAATTCTTTTGGGAAAACACGAGAGGGAGAGAAATACCCTTCCTGTTTTCATCAAATGTCAGACTTCTCAACAATTCCCTGTGCTCTTGTCAAGTTTGAAGAAAAAAAATACTTACTAGTTCATCAACAATCACAGGCATTATATTGCTTCTTGTAGTTTGTATGCTACTCATGAACTAAAAGCCCCAAAAGATAAGGGCTGTACAAGTACTTCCAACTATTGAAATTCCCTGGTGAAATGCTTGCGAAGCCTGGGTGCTACCGATTTCTACTCTGAGAACAGGAAAACAAGATTCTGTACTATGTTCTGTAATGGATGCACCTGTCTCTTCTCTCTCCCGTACCACCCCACAGTTATTTGTCAGATTTCTCCAGTGTAGTGAAGCTGCCCCTCCCTCGCACTTTTTAGATCAATAAAGCTAACTGAATAAAGTAGGCTGTTTTTAATCAGTGAATATCTACTTCATCGTCAGCTTTTTGCACCTGTGAACCATGATAGAAATTAAAAAAAAGAAGTTAGTAATAGTATCCCCAAGCACAACAGCTTATGATGTTGTTCCTCCAGAGTTCTGTTTTAAGGACTGTAATGAAGGCTTTACGGAACTAAAAACCTGTATGGAAAAGTAAAGCATAAACAATCTGACCCACATTAAGAGATTATTTCTGTCAATCACCTGCCAATTGCACTCTGAAGTGGCCGTCTTTTACTGCTGGGTAGGGTAGCCCCATGCATCCTTTATTTCACTGAGGGTAGTTCTAAACAGTATTTTGAAAGCAGAGGCAAGGTCATTCTGTCTGCATTGAAGAGCCAGCTGGATACCAGCCAAATCTGAACCCAAATCTGCACAGCCACATTAGATCAAGCGCTGAGCCCAAGCTAATATATTCTTTCTCTCAGGAGAGCTTATTAGCTCAGGCTCCATACCATGCTAAGCGTGCTATACAGCTTCTAGTTCAGAACTGGTGGAAGACTAGCCTGCTTAAGTGTGTAGGCATTCCCCAAGACTGCGTACAGCTCGCTTGATATCTCCTGTACACTATTATGAAACAACCACAGGAAGAACAAGACATTTTATCATAAAAGAGTGAGGAAACAGATTCTAAGCAAAAGTCAAAAAGAGCCTGAGACAAAGGAGGTTAAAAAAGCATGAAATTAAAACAAACTACAGAACCATCAACCCCTGCCTAACACAACAGTGATTTGGGCACTCAAACTCCTCATCTTTTCAGAAGGTGTTTGTAAGAGTCCGAGAAGAACCTGTACCAAATCCAAGCTATGCAGCTGCTCCCCTTTATAATGGGGCTATGCCAAAGACCCGGAACCAAACACCCCCAAACTTTTGCAAGAGTTCAGATCTGTATCCAAGTTTTGCAGTTCAGGTTCATCTTGAGCCAAAAACATTACAACAAACACAAACAGATGCAAAGGAAGTAGCTGAAACAAAGCAGCAATAGAAGAGGCATTTTTTGATACCAAGCTTGGTCTTGAACGAATTTTAATTTCCTATGTGGATTTAGTGCTTGGCAGGCTTATTGCAAGGGAAGCATCTGGTATCACTGCTTGAGTTGTGCCTTTGTACACAGACTTTTAAGGCCAAAATGGACCATCAGATTCTCTAGTCTGACCTGCAGAACACTGGCCTGTATAACACAGGCTAGAAGCCCAGTAACTTGGTTTTTACTGAAGTACATCTTCCAGGAGCACACCTGCTATTGACTGGAAATCACAAACAAGAATCTGAAGCATCTTCACTAGATTGCACTTAGTCATGCTCACAATTAAGAGAAAGAGGATCTTAAGCCTAGTGGTGTGCTGTAGCACACAGTTTGGAGTTCCACCAGCATAAAGACAAAATAAAAAAAAAAAAAAAAAAAAAAAAAAAAAAAAAAGAGGGCTGTTCCCCCAACAACTTTCATCAACCTAATCACTTCACACTTCTTACAGAGTGACTTCCAGGGAAAAGAAAAAAACCAAAACCCAGCTCCTTCATGAAAGCTAGTAACTGCAAGCAAGAAGACAGCATACTTCCACTTTCTTTATATCCTAACTTTCACTACCTGTATTTTACCTCTTTCACCTAGAAATACCAAACTGGATCACACCTATACTACAGCAGTCAGCACCACCTGCTTAAGAAGAAGGTACAAGAAATCCTGACCTGCAATCTGTTAAGGTTTCATCCCAACAGCAACTCATTTAACTCCGACAATATCAAACTGTCTCTCTTTTTCAGTATGTTTAAGTTCACTATTGCAATTCTGCATAGTCTTATTTTCATGCCCAGTGCCTGCCTTCAAAGTCCCCCTGGAGCAGTAAGCTCCTTGCTTATTGTTATTGTTGTTTACCAATTCTGCTACTCTAGGAAAGAGGCAGATCTTGAATGTGCCAAAACTTATCAGAACCAAAAGATACACTGTTTAGAAGAAGACTTGATCTCTTCTCCTGGAGGGGCGGTGCTGGTCATCTTCTCAGCACTAGGAAACTGGGTCAATAGCTTCAGATTGAAGTCCTCCCTTCGTTCATACTCTTTGCCACGGTAGATAAAAATTTTATTCTGTGGGAAGCAGAAGAAAAAGAGAATTAACACTAAACAAAGCAATGAGAAAGAGCTTTCCAAACATACACAGAGTAGTCTCAGAGATCTAGTTTATATGAAGGGTTGTCCCCTAGCTTAACAGACAGTCAGAACACATGAAAGAGGAAACACAGGCTGGAGTGAGAACACAGCAACTCTCAGGAGCAAGGCCCTGCAATGGCAACCTCACATTTGTCTAGGAAATTCACTGTTCCACATACAAGTGTTATTTAACATGTTCATACTTTCTAGCACTCTAAAAACTCACACATTCAACTCATGAAATCTCAGTCAGGGGACTGATTTTAAGTAAGAGAACATGTGTGCCAAAAAGTTCTTTAACGCAGGGAACTGCATGCTCCTTGCCAGACCACTTATGGTATGAGTTAACTGAGGGATCTCTCTATGCACAAAGACATGAGTTTTACCTCCGTTCCACTCCCGACTCTCTTCAGCTACCACTAACAAAATGGCCAGCTATGGCAGTTTTGCACTACACACTTAACAGTAGACCATGGGCAATTATTTTTCCAAACTGGCCACCAAGCGGTGGTGGTTTCTGGAAAGGACGGATTCAAAAACATGACCTGGAGGGGAAAGCCTTCTATGCCATCCAGTTACACAGTTCTAAGTTAACATTTTTCTTTTTCATTAAGCTTGACTTCCATTTAAGGCCAGCAACTTCCAACAACACCAGTCTGAAAATGTAAATGTTCCTTAATTTTAAATAATAGTCAGGAATATTTTCTAGTATGATGTACCCTGCTCATCTCACTCACTTTGGCTAGATTCTTGTATTATAGCTAGTACAGATCCAGTAATGCTTAGCAGCAATCTCAAACATGAAGCATCTTTGCATATTAATTCTTCTGCATGGGACAGACTCTCACTAATGTGCTTGAGCATTGAAATGATCCATGTCCTGAAAATTAGGTTGATTCAGGCTGAAAAGCAATGGGATAAATTCTTTACAAGCTAAACATTTTCTAACGACAACAATCATATTTCTGAGGAAGTGTATAGGGCACAAATACAAAAGGTAGATTCTGCTTCAGTCCATATAAGAACATACCAATCATCTTGCAACACACCAACTTTATTAAAGCTGGTAATACAAAAAAACCTGGTCTCTTACTTGTCTCTTTTTATATGCCAAAATGCTTTGAAATACTTAAGCAATTTAGATCTCTCAGTGTCATTTAAAGGTAAAGGAGTATGGCATCTGAATTTTCTTGGAAGCTCTGCAAAAGTTGTGACTTTTAGGGTACCCACCACTCCAGAACTTGAGTGCTGCAGAATTCTTACCCGGAGGAAAGAGGGGAAACCCTGACCATAGTATCCAACAGCAAAGTACTCTGGTTGAGGTCTCATTGCCTTCATAATATTCTCATAAAAAGTAGCTCGTTTTTTCTGAAAAAGAAAAAGTCACCAGCATTTTCACTTTGGAGTATTCAAGGACATTGCCAGACTGTAGCTCACACTCCCAGTGACCATTCCTGATCTATTATTTCTCCTGTACAGAACACTTTTTACAATTGTTTTTTTGATACAGTAACTCATACTTATCCATTTACTCGGTTAAATATTTGGTTTGTCTGGACCAGAATCAACTTCATTTCCTGGTTTGCAGACACGAGAATAATGCCATCTTTTTTAGGATTCCAGGAGGATACTTGAAATCCTTAACTACTGCAACACAAATTAAAAATAAATATGTTCTGAAACTGAGCAGACACAAATGGTGACAAATGTCAGAGAACTGGCAGAAATAAAACTGGGCAGATGATTCTCATATGAAAGAACATAAAGACCATCTGGTTACATCTTTAACCACTAAAAAATGTAATTCAGAACCAAGATGAGTGTATAGTTCTGTGTTCATACATGGTAGTATTACCACAGAAATAACAAGGTGATGAGATTTATGGAGCCTGAGAATAGGCCATGCAAATGTTACCTTATTTGATTAACACCAAGAATGCTAAACATCTGCACATTATATTGTCATGCTAATTACAAGGTCAAAACCACACACTTTAAAAAAAAATTATGAAAACATTCTTCTAATATTAAGCTTTACAAAACCATGGCGGTTATGTTGGTTTGTTTGTCTTTAACATAAATGTATTTTGGGCTTATCCCACTCAACAATATTAATTTAAGCAGTCAGCAGCCTGCTGAAAATGGAGAAAAAAAAATCTTACCAGGAGATTACCAAGTCCCTCATAATCAAAAACCTTGTTCTCATACATGTCAGCCAACTCTTTACTTAGTTGAATGGCCTTCTCCCACATCTCCATGGAGGGTGAAGGGAGGCAGGTGGGGGAAGAAGAGCACAAGCAAAATGAAAGACTCAGTTAAAAGCATTCATTACCACAGATAGGCAAACAAAAAATTCAGCTGATTTTAAATCAGGCAGTACTTTAATGCACTGCCAACTTTCCCTTAGACTCCATGCTGTACATTTTTTGCAATAATTATCACAGTCGCACAGCTCTTTTGATTTGTAGATCTGAAAGTGATTTACAAAGCAAGGTTTCTGCTGTTACTCCTGATAGGGAAAACTGAGGCACAAAGAGGCAGAAGGACATGCCTAAACAGCAAACAAGAGAAGCCCAGGTGGTCTCCTCCTACAGTAATACTTCATCCCCTGCATCAGGCTTCCTTGGGTTTGTCTCATTTAGCCCTGGTAGAACCATCTATCCAAAGTACAACTAATGCAATTTCAGTATCAGCCAAACAAGCCATACTTCCTGCAATGCAAAAAACCTGACAAAAGCCATTACCCAGAAGACGAAAGGAAACCACCTATAGTTTTCTCATCTACCCAGTATCTTGAACAGGGTTATTTTTTCAGATGCTCTTCAACTAACAAGGGAATACAAGGATTCAAATATCACCAGGACAAATACATGCCCTGCTCATGCCAGTACTGTGGTCCCTATTTAAAAGCCAGGCCTAAGCATCAAAGGCCCGTTATGGAATCACAGCTGCTTTTACGCTTGAAACCAACTTCAGCCAGCTACATTCACTAAGCCAAGTATTTACCAGTGAACTGTAAGAACACTTGCAGACACTCACTTTGCCCCTGTCAAAGAAGGAGATAATTTCTTGGTAGAGTTTTTCCTTGAGTTCCTGTTGCGAGTAGACATAGTAGCTGTCCCTCTGCAGGAGGTGAGGGACACATGGCTTCTCGGACCACTAATACAGAGGAAAAAAAAAAAAAAGGCAAACTTGAAAGAACTGGAACATTTTCAGATTAACAAACCCTTACAGTGGATAGACTCACCTTCTGCAGGGATGCATTCAAGACAAATCCATCATCAATAAAAAAGGAGAGCAAGGAAGTTTTGCAGTGATATAAGCTGAGTTGGCTGACTAATGTAAACTAGGAATGCACACAAAAGCACTGCATCTCAGCAGCACGGTTAGAATAACAAGTAGCCAGTAAGCAATAACTTCTTAAACCACTCCAGCCAGCTGCTCAGAGAAACATCGATTATGCTCTCCCACTACACACATAAGCAGCCAGAATGCTTCAGTTCCATGCAATTTTTTTTCTACATTAGAAGTTCATTTTTAAATCAGTTTAAGAATCCATCTGAACCTGTGTAATTTTTTAAGTCATATTTCAAAATCACTTTAAAATGTTAATAAAAGTTTAATTGTGTCTGCAAAACTGGTGTGATTTTGGCTTAAGGTCTTATGCAGAGACACTAACTGAATGTGTATGCTTTATTCATCTGTGGAAGGCATGAAGAGGTTGACAAATCCAAATTAAGATGGCTTAGGCTAATGCATGTTATACTGTTCACACAGAAGTGGAAAAAAACCTGTACTATGACCCCAAACATGGACGTTTTCCCCCAGCTCACTATAGCACTCTTGTTCACCAAGAGTATGTAACAAAATGATGCTAATAACATTTTTGTTTTCATCCATTTAGCTGCTGTGCAATTTGCAAAATTGAGAAGCTCCTTAATGACTACTAGAACCTAGGTAATGCAAAGTCACTTTAAAAAAAAAAAAAAAGTGAATTGTTTATTCTGAGCTGTTTGAACTTCATTTAAAACCCATAACCTAACAGTGGAAACTAACATTGTCTTTAGTGTAATACCTGGAGCAGCTCTGCATGGAGGAGGAGAGTGTATGCTGCCTCTGTGAAGTTCTCACAGTCTGTGTGCAGGTCCCGGAGTTTATATAGATACCTAAATAAACGAAAAGCAATTGTTACTTGATGTGAAGGACTCCTGTATCAGTGTACAGAACACCAAGAGAAATAAAGGCTTCTATACAGTTATGAAGGGAAACACACTACCTGATATAAATGTCCTCTCGTTTCTTCTCCTTATAAAAATTCTACCAAGAATAGAAAAAAGTAAAACTTTCGTTATGTAAAGCGCCATGGATTTGCATAATCGTCTCTAGACAAGTAACTTAAGCATCAGGTTTAGATATTTCAAAGATCTTTGCTGTCATTTTGCCTCCTTGGTGCATATGTCCCTGCAACCATTGCTTTAACATAAGGTGGGACTACTGTCACCTCTAGAAAAGGGGTAAGTCAAAGAGAGAAAGTGACTTGTCCAAAGTAATACAGGCTCTGCAGTAGAACAGGGACTTAAGCCCACATTTCTCAAACTATCAGCTAGCCATCTTTACTGCCTGTATTTCAGGGCTTCAGATTACTATGTAGACAAGGACCAGCCATGTGACTTGACTGTGCACTGTAAGTCTTTCTAAATTTTATAGTTAACAATAGCTGGTAGCCTGATTTGGGCCCATCATGAACCAGAAATGGCATAAAGAATTACTTAAAATCCTAGGGGAAAAAAAAAAAAAAAATCCTTCAGAATCCACAAAAGCCAGGTCAGTAAAGAAGCATCCATATCCATATCTAGCCTTCCCCATACCAGCACATTGACAGTGCAGCTCATGCGGTTCTCCTTGCTTTCATCATGCATGATTGTCCTGTAGTCCAACAGGTTCTCTAACAGGCTGCTGACCAGCAAAGCAAACACTTCTCCGGAAGCAGACAGATATTTATGCTTCCGACAGTGCTCCAGGAGGCTGCAGATATACCCAGAGAGACAGAAGGGAACACTCAGTTATGGTTCTGAGCAGTGGTAAGTAGAACTTCAGCATAAATTATCCAAACAGCCACTCAGCTAACAGTCAAATACATTTCCTCAACAGAGACTCTCACAGTGCCAAACAGCACACCACACCCGCAGACCTGAGATACCAAAGGCAGGCAGGTCAAAGCGTGCCTTGTTGATCAAAAACCTGGGTTCTACTCTCAGTGCTAAAAGAACGCTCTGATTTTGCTTTAACTCTCAGCTTGCTGTTGCCAAGCTTTTCCACTTACAACCCCCTTGCCAGTTTGGCACCTGCCTCTAGGGTTTCATCTGCAAGTATAGGGTAGTTCTGTAAGTTGCTGCTCCACAATAAAAGCACCATTTTAAGGCAATCAGTCTCAGAATACCTGTATAGCATTAAGATCACTGTCGACTGCACTATCTCCCTGTTCACTGGAGTAATGAATTAGCATTTCTTTGCATTAGAAAAATAGCCAACTAAGCTGTAAAAAAGAGCCTCTATGTTCTTTATAAAACTTACAGTTTCTCCAGTAAAATCTTGTACTGTTCATCCCCTCGGCCACCCTCCACTTCCTGGTCCAGCTTGGTTATCAACTCATTTTCAAACTGAAAAGGCAAAAAACCACAATCAAATAGACAGCAATTCTCAAGAGTGTGGTCTGAATATCAGTAATGCTTGTGGCCGGCATTTCTGAACTGCCCTGCCATCAGACACTGGTTTTACAAGCCAAGCTAGAGGACGCTTTCATTGTTGGGAGCAGAATACAAATGGTACGAAGCCAAAATGACAAGATTGGAGCAAGGAAATACAAGTCCTCCCTCTCTCATCCTACAGTCACTGGTAAGTCATGCTCTGGGGTAATTCTTCCCCTTCTCCCCCATCCATTAGCAGTTCAGTTTTGCTAGGATGGAGAAGCATTCTAGCAGCCAGCTTACAGAACGGTGATTCACTCACCCTAAAGAAACTGACCTACTACCATCAGTTAAGGGCAAGTCACAACTCTCTGGCCATCACAAACACTTGTGACTACTAATTAAAGCAACTTCTCATGATGCAAGAACCAAGTCCTGTGTGATTATCTGTCTAGCCATGAAGATATGCCCTGTTACATGCACACAGGTCAAGTACATAGTCTCAGTTATAGCTGCAGCTAGTATATAAATACCACTGGAATGGAAAATCCATGCCACACACATCCTGCTTCCTTCTGCCGATTCCAAAAACCCCTGAGACCCTGGGGCCAACCATACCAAAGACTGATGACCCCAAGGGAAGAAAGATCCCATATGCACACTGAAGCTGGGGTCTAAGCTGGTGTGAGGATGGTGCTTAGGGAGATGCACATCACATTTGACAACAGTCTGAAATGCCAAGGTTGCTGCCTTTTGGATGGATGGCTCCTACCCATCTCCAGGGAGAAGACTGTCTACAGCATAACTACAGTGTCCCCTGCCTGCCAGTTCAGATGTTTATGTCCGATATCCCCAGAGGAAAGCTGGAAGAATATGTCCTTAGAAACTGCAGTGAAAACTTAACCTCAGGACAAAAGCAAAGCTCCTCTTTTTCCTGCCTTACTTTCTAGTGCTTTCTCAGTAGCTATAAAAGGTAACTTCTGGAGAAATCAGCACAGGTTTGGAACTCAGGGATCTGGGTCCTGTTTCCTACTCTGTCCTTTTACTTGTGTAGCCTCAAGCAAATTGTGTCTGTCCTTTGTATCAGTATTCTCCTTTCCATAATGGTGGCATTAGTATTCACAAATGTGTTGTCAAATTTGAAGTTAATGAGGTATTAGTCAGTATGTAAGCAACTACATAATCCTAACACTTGACTGTCCAGCAATTTTCTTTATAGTAACTTACATTTACAGCCAAAGATCTGTCTTGGGGGAATTTTTATTGTTATTATAAATGTAAACAGACATCACTTTTTAGAGTACTCTCTTAGGGTCTCCAAATTGTTTCACAATTTAGATGTGGGTATTCACGCACCTGCAAATCCAGAAGGTATGAAAACAGAGGAATTCATTAATTATCAAAGTCACGCAAAGGCACAGTCAGGGACAGAACTGAAAAGTCCTGACTCCTACAAACCACTTAACAATAACTTCCCAAAGCGTCTGGCACAATGCTTGTTTTGTTTGGGGTTTTTTGTTTGCTTTGTTTTTATGTTCTCTTCTCCTTCTTCCCCCATGCATACGGCAGAACATCTGTACTGAAGACACCAGGCTCCCTTACCATATGGAAGTTTCTGTTCCCACTGAAGTTAAACTCGCACTGCATCATATCAAAGAAGATGGGAATGGTAGCTTTCCGTAGCTCAGGCTCTGGGACCAGGGTTACCTCCAGGATTGGGCCTACCATTGCTGGAATGAATTTTATTTTGTGGGGACCTGCAAGAAAGTCAAAGTCAGATATGTCCTAATGGCAGGATTTGGATATCCAAATGTTTAAGCACATTATTCATATAAACTTAAGACCATAAAACACAGACATTCTGCTTAGAATGCGTATTTTATGTGGATAATGGCTACTTAAGATAGAATTAACACGTTACAGCTCCGAAATTCAGGAATAGACCAAGAAAATAATTGAACTAAATTGCATGCAATGTTGCAAATCACAAACGCTCTCTGAAAAATTCTACTCTTGACCTTCATATGGCAGAACATCCTTTATAAGGAATCTAAGAAATTATCTCAGCAGCTGACATGAGAAAAGATCAGCTTTTGCAAGCTATTCATAGGAAAAGGAAAAGAGATTTTGTGCCCTGAAACAGCTGAACCTTAAGTGTATTTCCCCACATTAAACATGAGCAGCTTTTATAAAGAAATAAAAGATTTGAAACCCAGCTTGAGAGCTTGAATAAAGATAATTCTTTAGCTGGAACTCACCCAGGTTATACCACATATCCCTTATTTTGAAGCCAATTTCTTTCCTCATGTCACCATACCTAGAAAAAAGAAAGAAAAAGATGAAAAAGGCTTATGCATTGAAATTACCTATGCAAAGTTGCTGAAGAAATTTAATGGCAAACCCACAAATATTACTACCCTCTCCTTAAAAAAAACACCACACACAAACCTAAATATGCTGGGCATTTATACCAAGGGGTCTCACAGACTATGTTCCCTACTAAGGGTCTACCAAGAAGTTCCTCAATATTACGTACCTTTTGTTAGATGTTCACCTCATCTTTTTTCTTCCTTACCCTGCCCAGCATCAATGCTCAATGCACAGAGGAAGAGAATGGCCATGTGCCATTATGACAGAAGACTGCAGACTCCCTGAGAGCAGATTAAAGCTGCAGCCCTGCTGCTTCATGCAATTCTACCCAGAATTTTGTTGTATTTGGTGTTTTTCCCTAAAGCTTTAACTGCTGACATTGAGAAAATGCATGAATATTTAATTACCAGGCTTCTTAAAGCTCTCGTTATTGCAGAAAAAAGATGGCAAACATTAACTAGGTATGCCCTAACAAAATTCTGTGTCAAGATCTACAAAGATATTTAGGCACTTGATTCCAGCTAAATGCAGAAGTCAAAGCTGCTCATTGTCTTTGTGAATTTGGCCAAGTTACTAAAAATTACTACCTCTGGGTTGATGAATGCCTCTGAAGTGCTCTTGCTTTCAAAACAGAAAAAGCAAAGAGAGGGGACTAAAAAGTTGCAGGGCTTTAAGCATTCTTGCTTACCTACCTTATGTAATGGCTGAGGAATTGCATCAGGTGCAATTGCTTTTGGAACTATGGCAAGCCTTCTATTACAGTCCTTACAGTGGAAAGAATCTTTTGGCAAGATGCTTAAGTTCAGCTCAAACAACTCAGGATCTGTCTGACCAGACTTAGACATCCACAGTGTAAAGACCTGACATCTGTACTAGTTACCTCTCCTCCCTTTATCATCATTCATTAATCAAGCACTTCCATGGCATGCTTCATCTCATTCTAAGATTGTATGGGGTATGTCTGGAACAGTACAAATGAAGCTTCTTAAAAGCAAAAAGGCCTGGCAACTTTTTAAATGTAAACTCACTTCTTGATAATTTTGTTGCGTTTGGCTTGTGAGAAGGTCTCCAGCTGGAGGGATTCATGAGTGAGAAAGGCCACAGCCAAATGGAAATAGTTATTCCAGAGCTGTGGAAGAGAAACAAGTCTAAAATAGGAGAAGACAAAGGAAAAGCAACAACCAGCACAACAGAGCTACTACCCAAATGCTGTAGTCTCCCAGCTAAGTGTTAATGAGGAACCGTACCAAGAGTGAGCTGGTAGATGAGTCTGTGCTCTCAGCCATAGCAGGCAAGCCAGAAACATATAGCAAGTTAAAATTTCTCCCTCTTTTTAGCTTGTACTTTCCAACTAAAGCAAGTGACAGTGGGTACACCCATGCAGCATTTTGTTCTTAACTAGTCAAGCACAAATCAGCTATAGTCAGCATGCTGCCCAACTTGACCTTGTAAAGCCTGCAAGAGTTGTATTTGCTTGCAATTTATTGCTGCATTAACCACAGATCTGTAATTCAGAACTGCTTTGCATTCTGCTGCTTTTCTGTAAAAGACTATGGACATTTTCCACAGGCATGCTCTGTATCAACAGATCTGTTAACAGTGGGATTTGTTTGTTCTTCCTGCCTTTCAGGACTGGTGTCTGTAAGAAAATCCAGAAACAATGGAACTATTACCTGGAGTTCAAAATTTGCTTGATCCAGAAAGAAACGGTTGAGTACAGAGGTAAATTGGTTCACTGCCCGAAGGAAAACCCTGGAAGAGATGAAAACTTAAAATAAAAGGTAGCTCTTGAAAAAATAACATTGCAGTTCTGGGTTTACGACTCCTACATCTAAGCTCTTGGAGACAAGAATAGATGCTCCCAAACAAGAGAGGTATTCCTCTAGAATGCTATTTCACCTCTTTCCCAGTAGAGGGACATTCAGGTAAACTTACTCCTCTTTCTGAACAAAAGAAACCTTGACTGGAGGCAGATGAAAAGCAAAACACTTTTTGGGCAATCCAATCTCTTTCACAGTGCAGTGCCATTCCAGATGGTAGCCTCTCTTAAGTTTATCCTATCCTCATCACTGAAGCACTCAAATAACTTCATGTCCTTCTTCACACTGCGCCCCTACGAAACAGTGGAGCTACGCGGCCTCCATTTTGAAGATGACTTGCATGACTGTGCTATGCAAACAGGAGTTACGTGCTTGTTGTTTCTTCATTCCTTCCCCACTTCTGTTGATACTGCCTATGGGAACATTAAACTCACAGGCATACAGGCCCTGCTGCATTGTGGATAGCAGGTTTTGGCCACGCTTTGCTACCTAGCACAGTAGACAGCGAGCCAAAGCCATTCAAATTGTACAGACTTAGCAGGAGAGACTTGACTCACACAAGGCCAAACAAAGTCCACAGCAGAGCAGAAGAGAATCTGGGTAGTTGTAGTTTACAGACCAGCAAACTAAACCCTAGGCCACACTTATGTCCAACTAGCTTTAGGTTTGCCCTGTAATTACCCCCGAATTGAAACCAAAAAGGCTTCTCTGATTTATGTTGCACTCTCCAGCAGTTAAGTGACTGGATGAAAGACTGCATGGTTTTGATTGTGTGCCTTTGGCCAGGAGAAGAAAGATTTCCAGTTCCATCAGCAGAAATGCGCGGGCACTACAATTTACTGAAATTCAATTTAAATCACCCTGAAACTCTAAAAGAAAATAAGCCTATGTAACTCTGGTGATTTGCAAGCCTGTTTGTGTGAGTCACCCTCCTTTCAGAACCAGAAAGGCTCCAAAGCAGTAGCAAGACTTAAAATAGCAGCAACTATATACCTGCTCTGCATCATATTCATGACCATCCAGTCAGTTGCATAGACATTTTTTCCAATCAGATCCTTAAACATAATGAATGTTTCCATCAGGAAGTCCTGTTGGAAAAATAAAAACCACAGCTCATCAAGTTCAGTATGGTAGTCTTTTATCCACACAAAAATATAGGGAAATGCAAATGTTTGCAATTGCATTGATTAACAACTGCTCTGAATAGCAATCAATACACTGTACCTCCTAAGAAGGATCTCTTATTGTGTGGGTATATTCCAATAACTAAATTATTTCTGACATCTCATCCATTCAGCTACAGAAGGAGAAATAATTCCACAGAACATGTTGATCTGTTTAATTAAATCAGTCTTTACTGTTTTGAATTAAGCTGTGTTGTAGGGAGCTCTGGTGCACATGCTGGATTAAAATGTAAAACCAATATTCAAGCACTTGTTTCCAAATGTCTGAATGATGACAGTGTAACAGCCCTATGCAGTACCTTCTATAAAGATGGAAATTAGAATGTATTTTCACTTCCCCAATTAGTTAAGTCTTTTCTGGTCCAGTTTAAGAAAGGTAATTAAAAAGAGGTAGTGAACATGCCGTCGCAGACACATGGTTTAGAACATTACTGTAGAAAAGACACTTTTTGCACAAACACTAAACTGCTCCAAACAAAGCTATATCACACCTTAAGACTTGGGGAACGCAAGGTTGAATTGTAGAATAAGAGAAAAGGAAAAGGAAAAAGAAGAGAGATGAGCAAAAGAAGGTAATATCAAGAATATGGATTTCTATATTGTGGTCTCTACAGATATAAATGCTACCTATGAGCATTTAAATGGATTCTATTCTCTACAAAGACAGCACATTAGCATTCAAAAATGAGAGGGACACAAAGAAGGTCACATGAGAAATCGCCACCTTGCAAAGATCACCAGCAAAAAAAATTCTGTTGAGCTGAACAGCTTGCTCTCAAGAATTGGCAAGCGACATCGATGTAGAGAGAGAAATGGGCATTTGGTGCTGCCTCAGTAAAAATCTTTTAGGCATTATTAAATCCGAGCTTGATGGAAAGGTTTGGACTTGACAAGGGGCACCTTGAAGATGGGAATTAACCTACAACAGTGTTCAACCAACCAATTAATGATGCAATGCCAGGGCTGAAAATACCAAAGCAAATAAAAACCAACAATAAACAATAAATAAAAACAATTATTGCAGTAAACCAAAATGCAATGTTCTATTGGTGTTAACAACTACTATACCACCACCTATGTGGGCTTGCTTCTGTAGATTTAAGGATTTGTAAAAATTAAATTACAAATTGGTATTTTCAGTCGGTATTTGTTTAAATGATATGCAGGTAGTTCTAATGATTACATAATTCACCCTCCTGATATGTCTTCGTGTAGAAGCTTTATGTATACACACAGAAATACAAAAGAAATATTCTCCTATTTGAGTCAGAAGATGCAGAACTACATGGTAAAACAACACATCTTCAACTTGCAAGCTGAGCTTCAATCTGAAGTTTACATTTCAGGGAAGCTTTTAAGCACCTGTTTAACCTTACCTTGAACTAAAGTTATGATTGTCTCCTACAAGCTCAACTGCTCTTGAGGAAAAAGAAAAAAATTCTGAATTGTGGCCCACTCAACATAAAATTTGTTTCAATTCTGCCTTGAATCCACCTTTTTCTGAAATCTATCAGATTTATCTTCCTAGCACCCTTCCTCAGACACAGTATTTCTACATAACCCTGCTGAAAACCTTTTCACTCATGTACTTGATGAACACGAGCAGAATTCCTTAATCTACTTGATTTTGTTTCTTCTTCCTTCACAAAAAGATATCGGTAATAGAAAAAGTAATTCTAAAACTAGACAATGAGTGCTCTCTATAGACAATGCAGCTGAGTCGCCTTTTAGATGCAGAAGTGACAGAAATGTGTGCGTCCTGTAGGGGGCTATGTTGCTCAACAGATTGCAAGCAATTCCAACTGCACAGGGAAAAAAGAGATCACCTTGCCATCCAAAATTAATTACAAACACCTTCTTGTGGGTTTTGATCTAGCTTTTACAGGAAGAACACAACTCCAGGCTCTTCCCCAGCCAGTATTTAAATAAGCAAGCACTTCTAAGTTGCAAAATGAGGAGTGTGGGGACAAAAAAGCCAGAACAGTTGCCATGTCATGCTTCAGAGACTTGCACAAATAGTGGTTATGGTTCTGACTTGTTCTGGGCAGTCTGGAGAAAAATCTGGACACAGCTGTTAATTCTAAGGGCACGAAAAAAACCCCAACCTAATGTTTCACCTGGTTTCATACTGAAAGTCTTTAGGGACGTGAATTGTACACAGTTTTTAACATGGAGGGAACTACTGCATTGCTGCCCACTGAAGCAAGACTAAAGCATTTAATTAAACTCTAGAGGAGGGGAAAGAATGAGATAAAGAGAACAGGATCACAAAGAGATACAGTGAGAGCAAGAGAGGGGAAAATGCTTTTCCTTTTCATCTTCATTCACTCTTCTAGCTCCTGACCTTTTACTTGCACAGAATTAAACACTCATTAAACATGTTTTTACTCAATGCCACAAATGCTATTCTCGGGCATTACTGAGTCAGCAACATCCACTGTGTATAGCCAGCAGGGGTGATGTGAATATATCCCCAGAGGCTGTGGCATTAGGTGCCCATAAGTCATTGCTGATGAATGCCGTATAATCACTCCAAACTGAATACAGTAACTTGAAATGACCTTTCAGAAGCAGAGTGTAATTCTTTATGGACCAAGCTAATCCCCCAGCCAGGCTGACTTACAATAATGTCCTGCCTGGTTTTGAAAGTATTGATGTAATGGTTGTAATGGAAATCATCCATCTGCCTCAGAATGGCTGTCATGCAGGCCACAAAAATACCCTAGAATAGGAAAAACAAAACATTTTATTATTTTCCTGTATTAAGCACTGTAAGTTCAAAGTATGGCATATGCTTTCAGAGTTCCGCCTAATCAAGTATCACCGATCACAATTCTGCTTATCTATGTCCTGACATCAGTCTGTGTGACTGTTTAGTTTTCTACGCCAAACCACTCAAGACTTCCTAAATTTCAAGTATGAAGTCTGGCTATAGCTTGTTTTCTCCCCAGGGATCACAGTTTGCAAGAAAAACCCATCTTCCAAACACTGGAATATAGATATGTATATGAACCACTTCACCCTACCTTAAGGGTCTTTTCCAACCTATATGATTCTATGATTTTCAGATTTACTATGGCCAACTGTAATTCTCATGGCTGACATATTGGTAGTAGCATTAACTTGACCTTAGAGTTATAAAAAATAAGATACTGCTATATACGCCCAGCTCTTGATTTTTCCATCTTTCCGTACATGAAGTATAGGGCAAATTAAAACATACCAACTTGCTTATACCTTCTAAGATGCCACACAGTAGTCAGAACTACCCTTTAGAGATGCCTCACCCTTCAGCATTTAATCCTATTCAGCTAAGGTGACAAAAGAGCATTTTTTCAGCAAAGACTCCTTGTGTATTAGAAACTGCACTGAAACCAAATTCTCTGTGCACAAGGGCCCAAAGGAACTTGAAATCACAGCCAACTGTGACTCAGTTCAAACTGCTGCTGGAGTAGGACGATTTGTATCCTAATACCTGGTCTCAGAAAACCACCAAAAGCCATGTTTTAGTGGCACAGAAGCCCTGCAGGAAACGGAAAGATGACTTCATAAACCACTGCTACACACTGAAATCTCCCAGGAGAATAAATTCCACTATAACAAATGGCAAAGTAATAACTGAAGCAAGTAAAAGGCTCTCACAATGTGTGGAGACTGTCTGCTCATTCCAATCACTGTGCGGTTTATTCTCCTTAGCAGGCGTTCCATGATCAGCTGGATGTGGACAGCAGTGGGCCCCTGGGGATATTCAATAATGAAAATTTGAGACAATTCTTAATGTATACTGTTCTATAGAGTGCTCCCTGTGTGGGAGGACTGCCCTCACAGTGGTTAATTGTAATTAGAGGATGCAAAAAAGGAGATTTAAAACACATGAGCAGTCGATTCAAATACTGTAGGTATACACTTGATGGAGAGCTAACGTAATTGATCTATACCAGCTTCATTAGTTCACCCTGGTATAGCTAAATCAAAGCTGGTGTTTTGATTTGGCTTTGTTTTCGCTGAACAGTTCTTCAGCTCAAACTATTCTTTTCACAGCAACTTAGAATCAATTTCCATGACTAATGTGGTGAGTAACTGTATTCTCCTGACTGAATAATGATCATTGTCCCTACTTCATAGCAGAGAAAACGAGAAACCAAATACTTTTATGACTTGCTCCCAATAATTCAACAAGCCACCAATGTAGCTGGGAATAACATTTTGGTCCCTGGAAAGAAAAGTAATTGCTTTTTGTACTGTAGTGATAACCGCTAATTCAACCTTTCATGACTCCCTTTTTAGACACAGCTACTCTACGTGCAAAGAGACTCAAAGAACCATGCAGCAATGCAACACAATTTCTGTAAACATCAGAACTTTGTAATTCGTTAAAGCATAAGTTGAGAACATTTCTTTGCCATAACTTCTCAAAAGAAGAATTAACCTTAATTTGCACCCTTGACAGTTCATGCTCACCACATCTTTCCGATCCAGGACTTCAAGCACATTGCTAAGTAGCTGTGAGCAGGCTTCGTGGTCAGGCTTGTTTGAATTATCATCCAACTGGCCACTTAGCTGATCTATTAGCAGTGGCAGAAGAGCATCTCTGCATTCTAAAAAAATGAAACAGAGCACCACACCTTATTTGTCTCAGGAAGCTCTTCAGCATTCGGTATACATGGATACCACACAGTAGCTTTCTGCTCATAACTTTATCTTGGACACCAAAACATGCTTAAATCCACTTAAGTTACCACTAACAGACTAGAGAGAGTCATAAATAACCTGTAATTATACGTATTGCATCAAACAGTGCACTCTCACCTCCTGCCTCTTTCTAAATCAACACACTGGATCAGGATCCTACAGCATTAGGCATTGTATAAAGACTGAACAGCAAAAAAAGTTTCAGTTGTTCCATGGCAAGGAATATTTCTAAAGATGGATTTAATGGTAGACTACCACTGACGACTGACATAAAGGGCTTGTGAACTTGAAAGACATTTTTGTTTTTAAGGATGCGTGGCCCCATGCAGAACCCAGGGACTTCAATTTGCTACTTACCAGACTGTTTAAACAGATCACTCTCGACTATCTTGGTCATGCAGTTTAGCTTCTGTCGAACTAACTGGTTGTCAGGAATACTTTGGATAAACTTGCTGAAGAGGACACTAGTGTGCAAAACACAAAGTAAGCAGATGGTCAGCATTTTCACCCAATGTGATTCCATCCTACACTTACACTGTCCTGCACCTGGGCAAGTCAAGCAGTTTTGTCACTATGTGGACACGTTACCCGCAAGTGGTCTCCATGGAAATTCCTATGGAGCCCTAACTTATTTTCATGAAACTTAGCAGAGGACTTTTAGTAAAACTGAACAGTATTCAGAAACTGCAGGCTTAAGCCTCTTAAAATGAAGTTTGCATCCCAAGACACACTAGATATATCACAAAAGCTTATAAATAGGCAGTACTATCTGCCCTCCAGTGCCAGCATAAGATAATCGTACTTACTTTCATACAAAATGAAAGCAGAATTTTGCAAAGCTTCAGCAGACCACTGCTGAAACTTGAAACGCAGCTATAAACAACAGCAAGAACACATCCTTCCAGATGCCCCTTTCATCAAGAGTGATGACTCATTTCAATCTGAGATTCCATTAAATTAAATTCCATGTACATTTGCTGTCTGTCTACTGTTTACGAGCAAATTATTTGTGTCAGAACAAGGAAGCATGGTTGGGAGGTTCTGGGCAAAGCTATGAACACCAAAGAACACAAATCCATACAGTGTTGTGAATTTCCTGAATAAATAAAACTTTCATTTTCCCGACCAAGGCTGTGCCTTTGCCACACATTTTGGTTTACCTCAGAAGCAATCATTAAGAATTGGTAGAAACTTGCACAACGTTTCAACATATCACTCCCCAGTCCTCAAATTTTGGTCTTCAGTAAAATTTCAAAGTGCCTCAGAAAGCGCAGTTGAGATGCATAGACTCCTTTGAACTAAACTAACTTCCTTTAAAGCCCTGCAAGCGCTTCCTCAAATTCTTACACAGTATGTGCACCATCATGTCATAATCAGAGTGGCTGTTTTTAGGGAAGTTTCCAAAATTCTTCCCAACAGACAAGCTGGGTTTAGAGGACAAACAAACTTAATATGGTTACCTGAGCTCAACAGGGTCAAACACCAGTTTGACATCATTTACGATGCTTGGCAAATACTTTAAAGCTGCACCCTGCAAGAAAAAAACCAAGGACATGAAACACACACGGAAACTGAGTTAGACTAGCTAGTTCATTCTATAAGGGTGTAAAGTCTCAACAACAATGCGCATAGCTAACATAGCAAATCTAGTCTTTGTCAAGAGCAAGTATGTGGACACTTGTAGACAACTGTCTTAAGTTCAAATTTCTGCATCCAAAGAGCCTCCAGCAACCACACATCTGCAGTGCAGAGTGTAAAAGGTGAAGGAGGAAGGATTTGTAGCCAAGTTCTTTAGTTTTTGCAAACATCCTGCAGTTCCAGGGATTAAGCTGCTTATAGCCTGACATGAAAACCACTAGTCAGTTAAATTGACTCAGTGTTCTGCATACTTTAGCATGTCCACATACACGGTAATAAGTTATCTAGGTAGTAGTATGGCTTTCATAAAAGTAGCATCCAGACAACTAGGTGCAACAGCAACTAAAGGTCTGTTTGGGATGTTCTATGGCTGCTGCCAGCAGGTACTCTGACTGCATGAGAATCAAAGTTGGGCTTTAAATCACCCAAGTGCTAATTAAAAGTTTAGACTCAATCTTTCCTTCAAACAGAGAAAAGCATGTTGGCTAGAAGAACTGAAATACTGCAAGCAATCTAAAGGCCTCATTGCCTGTAGCAAGTTAGCAGCCTCATTGCACGGCTGCTCCGCAAATCCTTAGAGCATAAACAGAAGGTTCGTAATCCAGCTGACAACAGAAAAACAAGGAAGTATAAAATTTAAGATACATTTAGAAGCCATTTGTTTTTTCATTACTTTCATTCCCAGCATTACACTTATTTTTGCAGTAGTTTAACATTTCTGTCTCCATCACCCTCAAGCCTGGTGTTACTGGTTGAAGTGTCTTCCACACTGCAGTAGATTACACCTTCATTGGTTGTTAGCTTTCATCCTAGCAGGTGCTGAAGGGTTTTCAGCAAAGCCACCACTCTCATCTTCATTTGATAAACTTTGGGCTTTAAATATTCCTTTCCTGCCACACACAGTTCATTAAAACAGACATTCAGAGGTGGTGTGACTCATCTGAATGGGTTTTATGTGCCTCAAAGCTTGTCCCTTTTTCTGCCTGCCCTCCCCAACTGTATCAGTTGATCTAATAAAAGATATTACCTCTCCCTGCAAATTATGCATACCTTAATCTTGACAGCCTCCTCTAAAGGCCGATCCATGAGGACATTGAAGGAGAGGAACAGCTTGCGTATTGCATCATTAAATTCATCCCCATCTTCACTTTTCCCATAAAACCTACAAAGAACAGAAAGAGCTAGTTATACACATAAATCTAGGCTAACAGTGTCATAGTAGCTGAAATATGATTTTATCCTGTGGAACAACATCTTAATGCAATCTCCTTCTACAAAGACATGAGTGTAAAAATGGCATCAGGGATCCTGTAGTAATTTCCTGCTGAAATCTGTTATAAGGGAAGGGCTGCACTTTTTAAAATGCCATTGCATCAAATTCTGCTTGGGTTCCAAGAATCAAGTAGCTCATTCTGAATTAAACAAAAAAGCCAGCATGAACATGAGGAAAGGATTCCAAACATTCACTGTAAATCTCTGAAAACATGTTCTGAGGCTACGGTAAAACCACTGTCATTGACCATACCCTAACTGGACAACATGTCATCTTCACCTCACCTAACAAGTAACTGTGTGTGCATTTGTTTCTCAAAGTTTCTTAAGATGAGCAAGTCATTCCATGTTTTCATTTTTTTAATAAACAACAGGTTCCTTTTCAGCACTACCATATGCTGCTTATAGCATGCTACAGGTGACTAAAAGGATTCTCCTCTTCAAATGAGGTACTTCTATTTTTACTCGACTTACTTGCTCCAGTTGTAGACAAAGGGCAGAAAGATACTCTTCGTAATAATTCAAGGATAAAGGATATGCTGAAGAATATCCCCTCCAGTGGTGTTGACTGGAAGTAACTCCACTGACCTTCAAAAGGAGACATTAAGGATGGCAGTGACCTTGGTCTCACCTCAGGTACAATATTCGTGACTGAACAATGAATCGGAATAGGTACTTCAAGGCTTTCAGAGCAGCAAATAGCAATTCTGTCTTGCTGGAGTCATCAGCATTTCCCACGTAACAGTTCAGTACTTTGGTGAGTTTCCTTTGGAAATAAAACAAAAAGGAGAATAGACACAGTTAAGTTCCTGTGTAAGTTCAGCTTCCTTATTCCAGAGAGGAACTACAGCCTAATAAAGAGATAACAGACAGGGGTTCCTCTTCACAGTCTATTGCCTTCTGAAATCTTTGGCTTCATGGGATGCAAGATTTTCATAACTAGTTTATGAATCCTCAGAAAAGTCTACAAATTTGTCTGCAAACTCCAGCTTCTTGATCTGCTTTTCTTTTTCCCTAGAATGAAGTGTTCAGGAAATTGGAAAACCCATTACTATTGAAAGTGGACTGACACTTTCTCCATGTGTTAGCATTCTCATGTGTGGAGCACAAAGGTCTTCTGAAGCAATACCTACTGAGCGCTTTGAGAACTGCAGACAGAAGTTGCATAAACACATTATGAGTATTTGCTATCTAGTCTCTGCCAAATCAGAAGATCAGGATCTTCTGTGAATGCTATGGCAGCTAATATTCAGGCAAAATCCTCTTCCCTTCATTAAACAACTCACAGCACCCAAAGCAGCAAGTAAGTGATAGCCAAGTATACAACAGCTTTTGCACTTGCTTGCTATATTTGCCACATTGCCAGCATAATTCCCTAGTTTGTCTAAGTCTGGCATGTGGAGCACATGAAGGATGCTATATAATATTATAGTCCACTTGGCATTATGCAGATAGCACATTGTCAAGCTAAGCTGGAAAGAAAGGCAAGGGAACAACAAAACTAAGATACGGTGTGCTCATTAATCAGACAAAGAATTTTATTTATAGTGAAGAGAAATAAAAAGGATGATTCTTCCGTAGGTTACAGGGAAGAAGGAAAGGAAATCATATGCAAGCAGTAGTTGCATGGCCAGGGCAGGGAAGAAAGTAGTCCAGGATATGGGGACTTCAGAGCTTTGTGGAATAGTGTTTCCTCACAGGATTATCTTTAGGTTGACAGCCATCAAGAGAGGCTGAATACTCAGGACTAGGAATTCATGCGTATCAGGAAAAGTAAGAAGAGATTTTGAGAGGGGAAAAGGAGTTTGGTTTGTGGTTTTGCCCTCCCTATTGGCCTTAGATTTAACTTTTTAGTTGCCTGTTACCATGAGGGTAATGACCTTTGTGCTGAGGCGCGCTAGATCAAGGAGCTGGAAAGTCAAGAGACCCAGGTATTATTCCTGGCTCTTCCCCCAACTTCCTGAGTATCCTTAGGCATGTAAGCCATGACTACCTATAGCACTTAAACAAATGCCTTAAGCACATGAAGTCAACAGGTTGACCTAAAGGACTAAATTTTCACATGTACCTAAATAAACTGTGCACCAGCTTTTTTCTTTCCCTGATAAAACACAACTAACAATTGTGAGCTTAATTTTTTAAACTGCTTTGAGTTCCACAGATAAAAAACGCTACAGGGAAACAGAATTATTCCTACTGTCCATACCCACACATCCAAATGTGAAGAACTGCAAAATTCTAAACAAATGACAGTCTATGTGAGAGAGTTTCAATATAAAAGTGTAATCTCATGTAATCTGCATGTTAAGCCCCACCATGACATTTAGCCCTTTTCTGAAGTCTGTGGCCTCCTCAACCTGCCTGGTTGTAGGCAGACAGTGGAGGTGAACACCACTCTTATTTCTGCTACCATTGACCTCAGTGTCGCTTGTATTATTTCAGCCACGCATGGTTCTGCTTCTGCTCCCCGTGACCGCATTCAAACATACCCCTAAAACTGTAGCACAGAGTACAAAGTATACAGACTCTTTCAAACTTTATTCTGCTGAAAGTACTTTTGGGGTAGGGTGGATTGAAAAGGTTAGGGCAGGTACTGGCAAGACAAAACATTTCCATGAGCAGCAATACCCTTAAGGCCAGATTTCTTATGAATTTGTGTTCCTTCATCAATTTCCACACCTTCACCACATACCAACTTAACGATATTTTCCGTTGCCTTCTGCATATACCCATAACTGCCACCCCTACCCACCAGTCTTTTAGCAGCAATACTAGACCAAAGCATTCAAAAGTTATAAGGGAGAGATGTATACAGACCGACTGCATTAAACCTGTTTTCAATAGGAAATCAGGCTGAAAAACATGAAGATGCTTTTACAACGCCAACACACACACAGAGGACTACAGGTCAAAGGAGAGTCTGAATCATACTCTCTGATACAGGATTTTCCATGATAGCAGTGTCTTTTCCTTACAGAAAAAATTCTTACAACAGAAACTTTTTACAGGGTAAAAAGAGTAATTACAGGGTTTCTTTCTCTCCTGAAAGCACAGAAGAATAGGGTGGAACACTCTTATCTGGTCTATGCTGCCTTTACCACATTAGCGTAGTTTACTGAAACTATCAGTGAGACACCGTCTGAACAACAGCCTGTGGGGTCTGTGGTTACCAATACTTACACATATGCCAGGGTTGCACTGAAGTGCTTGTAAATATAAGTTTCAAGTACAGGGTTGAAATGCTGGAACTTGATGTCTCCGATCAAAGAAATAATAAATACCTGCCAAAAATTCAAAAGGAAACAGATGTACAAAGCCACACAACCTCTAACTAGCTCAAACATAACTCAGCCTCTAATTGCATGTCATGTGTTTTGCTGGGTCATAGTTTTCATTTGTTTGTTTTTCTAATAGCATTAATGCTACAGGTAGTGTTATTAATATTCTAATAGTCATTAAATATTGTGGTGTGTGCGACTACATCATTGCTCAGAGGGAAGGTAGGTCATAGCAGCATTTGGCTAGAAAATCTTAGAGATAAAGGGAGCTACTTCTCAAAGCAACAACAGTGATACAGGAAGCAGCACTACTCACAGTCTTTCTGTGACATTTTCATAGCACAGGTCAAACAGGCACAAAGCTGCTGAAGGCCGTTTTTCAAAGCTAAGAAACGATGCTTTCCAAAGCTAGAACTCGAGATTCTGATGATTTATACTTATAGCAAACACTCAGTCCTGTTACTTCAATGACGTGTTAGAGCCAGGACATTCTGTGCCCCTACATTCACTCCTCCGACCAATGTCAGCTGGATACATCTGAATTCATATTTCTTCCTGAACTGTCAAGTACGTTATTTGCTGATCAGCATGAAGCACACAGCTTTGTTACTGCACTGCACACCAAAGGCAGTGCCTTTCACACACATACTAAGCAGCCTCTCCAAAGATGAAGAAAAATCCTCGTGAAGTCTTTTGCTCAGTCATTGTAATCCTTCTATAAAGGTTCGGAGGAGCAGTCATCCCTACTGCCCAAGTACTGGGCTAGGATTTAGGGTGCGTAAGTTCTATTCCCGCCACAGCCACAAATCCTCCAACACCATGACCCTGAAGAAATCATTTCACTTTGTGCTTCAGATAGATAATAGGGTTTTTCTCTTCTGTAAATTGCCTTAATGCAAGAAGTTATCTGAAGGAATTACTATAAATTATGTAAACGTTTATTGCTGTTTTCAGTGTGGTTACTAAAAAGCTCAATGTGTATCTCAGTCCTAGCTCCTGAAAATGCCTTAAGAAGTGTTTAAATATAATTTATTTCTCAGAGCAAAATACCAATCACTCATCTAAAGGAAGCACGAGGAAGAGACTGAAAACATGGCTGAAAAACAAACACCCTAAATCCACAAAAGACTCACTCACCAGTGCATCAAACACAAGGAAGTCATAGGTTTCATTTTCTGACATTTCCATCATTATGTTGAAAAGTGCATCAAGGGTGTCTTGCAAAAACTAGAGGGGAAAAAAAAAAATAGTAAAAGGGTGGGAAAAGATGACTACTTCTGGAATCCTGCACAAGAGCCTACTCTTTTGGATCATTTTTTCCTTTCCAGCCTAGCCCAGTTGGACTGTAAAAACTGTCCATGAAAGAACACTTAAAAAGAGGTCTTAGTCCTGTATTCATTCACATGCTTGTCATGATCATCACACTATTCTCCCTCAGTATAGCAAGGAGGATCTTTTCTTACCAGCTCTGAATGGCCCCACTTTTATGTTTTATTGCCTTTTTATCTAGCAAGAGGCCTACTGAATACACTTAATTCTGTCCATATAGTTTAAGCTTACACTGTGCCAAGTCAACTACATACACTGTACTAAGGCATGACATTTTATGTAAAGACTGGTTTGCAATGACACAGCCTTTACTTTAGTTGTTCAGCAGTTAAGTAAAACCATGGCCTTGCATAATCCCAAAAGATCCACACTTGGAACCACAGGAAGTCTTACTTCCTAAATCCTTCAGCAGACTATTTTCTGTGGCACTTCCCCACATTTCAGGTCTATTCCCCACAGTACTCTGACTACAAGCTCTTTGGGCCTTCTCTGCACTCTGTTCCTAGATTGACAGCAATTCCCGAATCACAATGGAGGCCCAGAGCCACTACTGAAAATTAGAAGTTAGGTTTTGAATGTATCTTCTATTTTGTAAGGATACAGGGGAAAATAAAGTCACCACTATCTCCCCGATCCCGGTAACGTTTAGCTTCAGTAATTCTGGTGAATTCCACTAATGAGAGCTCTTGGGGCAAAGTATAACTTTTGTTCTCCTGTTGCTCAGCAGCTAGAATGGCTCTCCTGGCCTATACGGAGAACTTTTGGGTACAACATAATTGCAACCCTTCAAGGTCAACATCAAGCACAAACATAAGTGTTTGCGTAACAAGGAGACCCAAATCTCTATGCATACCTTGACAATTTCTCCTCCTTCCACCTCCATTAGCTTCCTTAGGTTGTGAGATATGTTCTGAGAGTTAGAACGCCAGTTCAACAAACCCAGCAGGTCAACTAGCAAGGACAGAACATCAGCAATTAGAAACAGATTACAATAACAAAGCTGACTTAATGGCTGCAGAACAATACAGAAGTACTAGAGGTTATTTTTAGAATCAGCTTACAAGGAAAAGTCACACTGATGCACAGAATATTACCCCGAGATAGTTCTTTTGTCTTGGCAAGAAAGTTAAGTTTTGCTATGAATGGAAACCCGGGTGTAATTTGATAATACAAGGTATTTGGTAGACAGCTTTGCACACTTCTCATTCACTCAAGAGAAGGTATCTCAAGCTAGGAATTTTATTAGTCCATGACTTTTCTTACTAATGCTTGTGTTTACTTTAGAGCAGCCTCTTGGAGATGGTTCTTAAAGTTAAACCTCTTGTATAAATGACATTAAGCTGCAGAGCTGTACATCACAGTTCTGGGATATCCCAGGACCTCAAGTTTAGTTACAAACTACAGTTGCGGCTTTCAAAGGAGTCTGGCAGGTTTCACACACATCTTGCATGTTAATGAAATATGTACATATCATCTCTGTTCTGAAACTAAATTAATTTACTACCTTCAGATGTAAGAATACACGTGAAACTTAACAGCCTTGACAAAAATGCCGCATTCAGAAACAGAGGTTACATGCAGGAGGGCAGAAAGATGCAACTGCGCTTGGCCTGCACATCAGACAGGATAATGAAAGTCAGATTCAGTCCTCATGCACATGGATGTATCAGTATGGCATTTAACTTAAGCTAACTGGCCAAGCTTAAACAGTGAGCAGAACAGCTCATGCCCATCTCCCAGCAGCTACACAGGTACACCTTGATGGAGCCACAGCTGGTGTCATTTTCACAAGCTTCTTTCCCAAAGTCAGAGAGTATGTTATACCAAGAGCCTTCCAGATCTAGTGGAAACTTCACATCATTTATCAGCAGTTTCCAGCATAAACTGTATTTATTCGCATATATACATCATTCTTCATTTTGACCACTTTGGCAACATGCAAAGCAGAGTTAATGCGTAATAGCATCCTAAAGAGTTCAGTTCTAATTGCTACATTCTTAATAGGCAGAGGAAAGAAGGTAAGTAACCTTAAACATTTATGATTCTGAAAACACACATACACTGTCACTGACGGGTGCCACTTCTATACCTGCTGACAAACCTGTTCGATTTAACATTGGTAGTTTGGATAAAATATTCACATTACATGGTGTCTAGTGGCTGCATAAACGTCTTTGTAGCTTGTACTGGCAACATGATGCCAACAATGCTGGGATTGGGCTGCCATTGACACATGAAACCGCAAGATTAAAGCTAAAGCACTATGCCCACACATGGCAAAAAATTTTGCATAAAGGAAGTGCTGCCTTTACTTCAAATATACAGCATGATAGCTAGGCTGCTAATGCAAAACCTACCATTCTGGGTAAGTTTGGTGGAGCAGATCAAAGTGGCAATCTGGAAGCTGTCTTTTGTACTATCTTTAGTGGGTGTGAAGTTGGCTAGATGGTGCAGGTTTTTCCCCGAGGGGGCCTCCTTCTCTTCTATCTCCGTTTTGGTGCAAGGAAGAGTTAAATAGCATTTAGCATCTTCCATTTTCTTGTTATCACCCTGTTGGTTGAACACAGCAAAGACAAGGGTTATCTCACACTGAGCACACCTTGTCTGACCTCTTGCAGTTCTCATCTGCAGACACACTTCAACACAGTGACAGCCAGAGAGAGCTTTAAATGCCTTTTCATGTCTATAGTTATTTACTCACATTGTCTGTTTGGGTCTCTAACTTTAGGGAACAGAAGTTGCCCATACTGCCAATGAACTAAGCTCTTTTCAGAGTGATTCAAGCCACAGACTTTAGGAGGGTTCCCCCCTGCCCCACTTCACAGCTTTCTACTGCAATGCATTAACTTCTTCCTCTTACTGTGATTAAGGGCACCAGGTTTCTCTGCCCATCACACACTGATACTCCAAAGCAGGTGTTCACCAGGCCTGTTTGTTGCACACTGTCTAGATAAACGATGTTACAGGAAAAGTGCTCTATACAGATACATACAAGGATGTACCGGATTTGTGTACTTGCAGTCAGAAAACCCATCAGTGAAAGCAGAGCTGAGGGTGACTTATTAAAAAAAAACCAAAACAACAAAACAACCAACTGTCCTGTTATCCTAGAAAAATTATTAAAAATCTCTGCAATGATGATGTTTACATTGCTAGGAAAAAAAATCAGCCAAGAGAGCTGTTCTGATTAGTTAAACAGAAGTGAAGGCTGCAAATGCCCAAGCTACCTTGTAAACAATCAAATTGTGTTTGCCATCTTGCAGTGTTGTTCCATCTGCATTCATCAACTTCACAAAGCCCATGCCAAAAGCTCTCTCAGACTTATCCCTAGCTGCAAACAGAAAGAAAAATCTTTATTACAAATTGTCTTATTTATGCCCACGCGATCCATAATGTAGCTCTAACTATGTGCAGCTTCTTCTTTATTTAATAGCATCACACGATAATGCCATGGAGCTAGCAAACTTTGTGATCCACAGTAGAAAGAGCCCTCTTTCTTTCCTTCTCATCTCAAGGCACTTAGTAAGTATCTGCAACTACACAGAAAAATGTCCTCTCTGAAGCATCTCTTGCCGCACAACTTTAGCGGTTAATTGTGCTGCTGGATGGACATATATAATCGTATAGATATTTTGGTTGGGACTTCGCAAATCTGCTTGTGAGCTATGGGTGTGGAATTATACCACGGCATCTCCCAGGTACCTTAAGAGAATTTTTTTCAGAGCCTTTCAAGGACTTAGTCTCAAATTATTGATTTTGTTTCAGGGCTCTGAAGTCCTTTGATAAAACTTCTGGCTCTAACTTTCTCATTTGCCATTCATTAACCTAATTTGAAATCCTCCTATAGCAAGACCATTAGAAGCCCACCAGCCCTTGCACTGAATTTTGTGAAGGCCTTGAAATAAAGTAGAAACAACACCATACACTGAGAAGCCAAAGAAGCAACAAGCATTGACAATTGTCTTTCAAAGGGACTAACATGTTGCTCCCTATCTAATCTTAGTTTTAGAACAAAACCAGCACCAAACCTTTTTTAAGGCTGTAAAAATTCTGAAATTATTTTTCTTTGCTTGCAAGAAAATCCACAAGACTGGAAATACGTAGAAATGCAAGCACTACACCTTTGGTGGATACTCAGAAAATCTCAGTGAGAGTAAGAAGAGCACAGTACTCCTGCAGATCTTCTTTTTTGATACTTACATTCCTGTGATGACCGATGACGGAAAGTGAATCTTAAATGGCAACGACTGACTTCTTCTATTGCAATGGACACCTGCACATGACAATACACAAGGAAAAAATGCAGCACCAGCATTCTCTATCTCCAGTCAATTTACAGGACATTGTTACTGATGTGCCTACTGATTTTAAATTTGTTTGTTTTCTACACAAAGGAAGCAAGACTGTAAATTAGACACTCCTACCTTTACAGTTTCATACCAGCAAGGTTGCTTGACTTGATAATAAACAACAGACTTATATTCTGAGACACCTTCATAACCGGCACCAGGATGGATAGCTTTCTTTGGACAAAAAGACAAGGGGAGGGGGGGAAAGAAAAGGTAAGGTCTAGAATGAAAGCAAGAATTGTCTTGGGTCAGAAATTTTCAGAGCATGTAACTGTCAGAGTTACTCAAGGTCTATGCTTCACAGTCAAGGGAACTCAATGCATGTCACCTCTTTCAAAGTTTTACAGAATCTTCAAAGATTTGCTCACAACCCTTATTAATTAAAAAAAAATATCACTGAGTATTCAAATTTGGTCACTGAGATCACCTATAATATCTTTTGTTCATTATCACACAGTTCTTGCATACAGTTAATATATAAGATCCTATGGACCACAGCTATCATCTAGCAAACACAGCAGCCTTGTGACCTCCTGCGAAGGCCATCATACCTCTTGGAGATTTCCATCTTCATCATGTACAGACATGGTGACTTCTACATTCTTGGGAGTCTTCTTCTTCCCTTTGTCAAATTCCCCTTGTATCAGGGTGACATAGATATCATTTCGAACATCACCTAAAATTCATACAGCTTAATGAGTTGTGTTTCTCATACAGACAGTTTTACAGGTTAACATTTAACATCCTTGGGTACCAGGTTATCCTTATCTTCTTCTTAGCCTTTACTGATACCACCTAATTAATGACACCCAACATCACACCATTTCATCTTCATCTCAAATTATACAAAATCTTTTAAAATGTACCATTCTCCTTTTATAAACCTCTGTCTTTATGTAACTTTTAAAATGTAATGAGCTCTATAAGGCTAAATCCACTTTGAATGGATCAAATAGAACAGAGTCAAACATATGCAACAAAAATGTCTCTTTGAATAAACAGAAGTTTTCTTCCAAAAAGTACACACACTATCATTTTTCAGTATAAGAAAGGAAGCTTATGTTTTCACTTCTTTGACAAAAAATAAATGATCAGCTGGGAATTTCAAGAAAAATGAAAGCAAGTTTTCAGACAGCTTTAAAATAAATCTGTTCATAGCAGAAATTCTAGAATTTCAACCACCTCTTTCACTCCATGGAAGTATAGAGGCATATGGGACCTACCAGGAAGGATTATCTCAGGGAATCCCATTTTGCGAGCCACAGCAGTTGATCTGTCTACAAGGTGGGAAAAATCCTTTTGAACCTGCGCTAGATCACCAGGAAGCAGTTTCAGGGAGACCCAAAGACCTAAGAAAAAAAAAGGTAACACTCCTTTACTGAAAAAAAAGTATGAAAACATGAAATTTAAGCCTACGCTTAACAGAAAACTGTTTCTTCATGTGATCTCCATGCAACAATGCTTTAAATATCCCAAGCTGGTTCTCACTTGCCCAGTTCTCTATCTCCCTAATGCTGAATAAGACCTTACTGGGCAAGTAGATTCTCTGAAGTAAAACACAAACTTTCTGAGGTGAATCCACCAGTGTATTTGAGTAAAGGCCAGACACACAAGCAGGAGCAGAAGAATCATGAATAATGCAGTTTAAACCCAAAGCCATTTAGACTACGCAACCAGCCATGTTCACTTAAAAATATTTTAAAATATGTTAAAAATATTACATTACTAGCAAATAAGTCGTCATCTAGAGAAGCTCTTGTTTTGATCTTTTTTTTAGCTCCCAATGTGCTGGGTCGCAGCCATTACAAAGACCATACATTTGACTCAGGGAAGGTAGCAAACTCCAATAAGCCTTGATCTCTGGACTTTCACAAGCCATTTATTTTCCTTTGTAAGCAAGAGGAACCCTTCCCCACACCAGGTTTTTACATTAGCTTCTCGCTCAACTGCTGTACCTTGCCCTTTATGATTCACTTCCTTTGCAGCGATGACTTTGTTGAAGACAGAAGTGAGGGGCTCATTTTCTCCAATCACATGGGAAGTTATCAGTGGGGACATGATTAGCTGTCGCTGTCTGATGTATGTTTCCATGGCAATCCTGAGAAGAACAACAATAGAGACTGGGTAGCAGACAAACATCAAACGTGCTCTGCAAGAAGAGGGCTGGCCAACAGCTGACTGCTTTCCAAATAAATATTTTTTTAAAGGATTCCATGAGAATTTTTTTTTAATTCTTCACCTGCACAAACCCAATGGAAGTACATTTAAACTCTCATACCAGGAAACACATCACAGTGCTAGCTCAGGCTTAGGATAAGTAACACTGACCTAAAGACTCCATGACTACCTACATTTGTATCATACTGAAATAGCAGCCTTCAGGACAACCATAAACATTGCCAGCTGTATTTTGTTCTTGTTTTCCATCCACAGACTGCCTTGCAGACCTGTGAGAACAAGTCTAGCTATTGGCTACCATGCAGGAACAGCTCAGCACATAGAGCCTTGCACTCCCATCAGATGAGCTGAGCCCTGTCTTCAGGTGTGCCTCAGAGCTGTCCCTAAGAGACTACGTAGATTAACTAGTGATAAGTTAACATAACTAATGACTGCTGTGAGATCTCACAAGTGATGAACCTATCCTTAGTCACAAACATGTCTGTCAAGCTTTGGATCTTGAACCCGACTTCACTCCTATACCCACACCATCAATAATGAACCAAAGCATATACAAAATGATGTCTTCACTGGCTCCCCATCCTTGTAGATGCATCCAGATTTGGATCTAAAATTACCCCCATTAAAAAAAAAAAAAAAAATTAAAAAAAAAAAAAAAAAAAAAAAGAAAAGATAGCAGACTAACATTATTCTGCAAAGGAAGAGACATCCTTCTTAAAAACCCACACAATCTCCCCTGAAAATACCTTGTAATAATATATGGCTACACCAAATTGATCGCTGTTTTTAGGACTGTAACAACATGGCTGAGTCTACCCAAACAAGCTTCATTTTAGTTACTGTAACGTGCTGAAAAAGTGAGCAATCAGAGAGCAGGCAGAACACAAAGTCTAACTAGCAATACAGAAATGCAAAACACACTAGGCTTGACTTTCTTTCCCAGAAAGAGGGACAAATCCCTTTTCTATTGTCCTCTGACTCACCTTTACAAGGTAATCTGGAAAGTTAAGAGGCAGACAATACAGAGGGTACCGCACAATAGTGACAAGGAGGACTTGTGTTCTCTATGCTCAGGTGTTTCTGAAAACCTTGCCTCTCAACCCCCTAATAGTTTTGAGGGTCACATCCCGCAGACCCCACAACATTATTTTGCACTGGACTCTTCTTTCTTACCTCAGATGATATGGGTACCTAGTAATTTCAGCTGCGTTGCCAAAATTCCTTAAGCAATTTAGCCTATCATACAGACATATAAATCAAGGGGAACGAAGGCTTCAGAGGGCTGACAAAAATCTTTTCCTTCAAAGAGCTGACTAGTGCCATAAGCTAATCTATTTGTAGAGACCTTGGTACACTGCCAGGCTCCCATACAAATCTGTCCTTCTCCAAAGGACAACTGCCTTAAACAAGCCAGATGTGATGAACTCTAAAGACCAGTACTTACTGCTGAAATGGAATAAAATGTTGCTTTTCCTCATCGTCCACCTTTCCATGTATGATATCAGTTATGTCCATCACTGCAACAACACAAGTTCATCACATAGGTTTGCCAAGTTGCTTAAGAATACAGAGGGAGCTTTCCCCTATCAGAATGGAAACAACAGTTGCTTATTTTGGGCCAATGCCACTCATGACAGCAATAGAGAGCACCACTGCCTTCTCAACTTTTTAAAAAGCACCTTTTCATTGATGCATAAATCAGCCTATGGTAGTGAATGTGAATATAGTCTCTGATAAAAAACCAGATGGGACTCAAGCACTTCAAGGCAAAGAAATTACACTTAGATTTCAAATGCTGATTATTTTGAAATTTTCTTCCACCACAAATTTCCAGCAAGTCTCTTCACAAGAGATCACGGGAATTGAACAGGAACTGGATGTCTCATTCACCAAGGCTCCTTTAAAAACTCCAGTGTCATCCCATTAGTCATGAGGAGCAAATCCCTCTTTGACAAAGATCTGAAAAGTCTACTGTACTGATGGCAGTGTGTTATCTTTCTAGGGGGTGACAAAACAAAAAGTGAACAGTAGTAACAGTATTTTATCTTCATACACAACTTTTAATAAAAGATCTATGCAGCTCAGTATCAACATCTCCACTTTGAAGCCAGAGATGGTGACGGTAAGAGACTAGCAGGCTTTGCTGACATAAGCATATATTTCCCAATTCCTTAGCCCACTGCCCCAGCCACTGGGCCATGCCATTTTCTCCATTGATTGAATTTGTCATACCTGCTACACCAAAGGGCCTCCGGAGTCCACAGGTATGTTTCTTCCCATCTTTCAGCTCCATATGCCCCACCCTCACAATCTGACACACCAAGCTGATTTTCGGCCTGATCAAGTCAGAACTGCTTAAATCCTAGAAATTATTTAAAACAGTTATATCAATTTGCTTTATGAATGGAAGAGAAGAGGACAGAGAAACACTTTTCTTTTAGATTGTACACACATATATAAGGAAATTATTACTTTTTTTAAAAAGTAAACCCAGTATCCTTTGAGCCCTAGGAAAAAGAAAACATACCATAAAAACACTAGCAATTTCCACACAGCAATTTCTAAACATCCCATTACTCTTTGATAACAAATCCCAGCAACAGTACTGAAAGGAGAGTAAGTGGCGTTAATTGCCAAAATACTAGATCCTGATGACAAGGCAGTTAGTTTGTGCCACCTTTGCCACTTGTCAGAAATTATTCCATTCATGTGCAATTCTTCCATTAACAACTTGTTGCAAAGAAGAGTAAGATCAGCAAAGCAATGAACAACAAACAAGTATGATCTTAAGCCTAGGTTTTTCGGTACAGTTAGGCTCCAACAGAGATGTGCCTAATAGGATTTTCAGAAATGCATGGGTAAGCAACACCCGCTGGCAGTACTATTGCAAAATAATGCACCTTTACTACCGCTTTGATTTGACATATTAAAAAAAATATTTTTCAGAAGCATTCCTCTGAGGCTGCCTGTAAGATTTTAAGTGTCCATGAAAACGCCCCAAAATGCCATGTGACCCCCCTCTGCTGGGTGGGGAGAGGGGAGGGGAAAGGGAAAGAACCCAAAACTTCGATGTTTGCAGTGTAGGGGAAGCATTTCTGGGATGTAAATGCAATAACTTACAGTAAAGACTGCTTGAAGGTTATTTAGTTTCTCAATTTCTTTAGGCATCCCATTACTGCCCCAACGAACCAGGTAATTTTCACTGCAAATAAAGGAATAAAAAAGATATCAAATAAATCAACACCTAACAGTCTCATTACCTGGGCAAAAGCTCAAAAGTATTTTGATCTTTTAAGAATTTTTGAAAAATTGTGCAAAATCTTCTATACCAAAGCGATTCTGAAGTGACCCATTTCACTGAAGGCAGAAGACAGGCACAATGTGAATGGGTACTCTCAGTTACTTCCCTATATAACTGATGGCATGTTCACACCTGATAACTTCAATGATGGAGACAGAGGGTGCCTGACATGTACGTGCTTCCTTGATAAAGTTCTTTATATCTTCTCCTACCAGTACAAGATGCCCAACCCTTAGGTGTGAACTCATACTGTCTTGACAGCAAATGTCACACATATACATGATTTAACAGGAAGCAATTAATCAAATGCATCAAGCCTAGTGACAACAGTAGGGAAATTTAAGAACATAAAGAGACAATCTGGGATTTTGACTAATGTGTCACAGAAATGTCCAGCTTTAAGAAGGGGAGCGCATGGGGTCAGAACCTTGACTTCCTAACTTATCTGAAATTAAATAACGCCCTTCCAAGTCACCACTGGGGCAGCAACCAACAGAACTGAAAAACTTATCTGCTGGCTCTTACTTTCTAACCTATACTGGCTTCTTTAGAACGACCACTGTGATGACTAAACTGCTTATGAACCTACAAAAAAACCTACCTGATGAATTTGGAGAGATCAGGATCATAAAGGCTCATTAACAGCTCTGCGTCTTCTCCAATATTGCAGACAAAATTCTTGAAGTTTACATATAGGCTATATGTATGTGTTGTGTTGAATATTGGCTGCCCTCGGAGGTCCAAATTCTGTTGCAGGGACTGCAAAGAAGAGTACTCCCATTAAAAACAACACAGAAGAATTTAGTTCTGCTGCCAAAGTAGCACAATATCCTTAAGAAGAATGTACAAATACAGTAGGTACTAGTTACTTGAAGAGGAAAAAGCCAGCAACAAGAGATGTACCTTCTCCTCCTGGATTCTTTCCTCAATCCTTTTGGATGCAGTTTCATGGGACTTGAAGAGAGAGATTGTGCTGGTTTCATCTGGGTCCAGGATGTTCCCATTGTCATCTCGTACAACTAGGTCCAAACCTAGGATCCTGAGTAGCATGCAAGTCACGAGGACGAAAGAAGCAACACAATATTTAAAAAGCAAAGGTGACTGAAAGAGCACAAACCACAAATCAGACTGTGGACTGCACTAGGCAGCCAACGCGCACCAACTCCATTCCTTCTAATAATCACATTGTTGGTTTTCCTGTCCCAAAATACTTTTATTCCTCACCCTTCATTTTCCCATTAAAGGGAAAAATAATTAGTCAGATAACTTAATTCTAAGATTACATCATCTTTGTTCTCACTTAAAGGTTTTGGTTTTTTTTTTTTAAAAAGGTATGTGTATCTATCAGGCTTATGGATTATGGCTAATTATTATTCTTTGCCATAAGCTTTCTTCGTAATTGACTTATTTGACCTGAATCAAGTCTGACAGGCAGATAAATGAGTTCTGGAGACAATCCCTGTTCTGTACAAACGAGTGAAAGGTGGAGTTTTGGTGGCCTATAGAATTGTATTACTCAGTTGCTGATAAAGCAGTTTTGTTCATAACCAGCATCCAAATCCCGCTAGCCAGGCACAAATTGTCCTCCATGGGAAATATGATCATGTGCCAGCATTTCTGCAGAATTAAGACAGGTGAGGTTTCCTGCCAAGTCAAAGAGATTGCTGGCATATGAAGAACCAACTGCTACATGCCCACCTGCCAGGCTAGTCACATTCTGATGGGGACTGAAAGCTGTAATTAGCCCCTTTCCAAGGAAAAATGTAAAGCCTAACTCAGTGTTCCCCTTGTGTGGTCATTTACACCATTTTGTATTAATAGCCATCTAGAGCCTCTACTGGGATTTGGGATTCTTCCCTGCCTTCAAGACATAGTTTGGAGCTTACCTGTTGCCATAGTCTATCTTAGCAGTGACTTTCTTCTTGAGCTCAGCTAGCTCATCTTTGGGAAGGGTCCCAGACAGTATCTGCGACCGCCATTCTATCAGGCTGTAAGTCATTTGTTGGACATGCCGAAACTGTGTTGTCTTGTTATCCTACAGGAAAAAGGGATCAATTTTAAGCTAGTGATAGCCTGAAAACAATGAGCTCAGTGAGCTTTCCGAAATGTACTCAACTGAGTCTACCATACAACTTGTATTTAACTAAAAATATCTGAGAAACTGGCACCACATGACACTACAAGATTAGACCCATGGAACAAATTCCCCAGTACTTTGCACTGCCAAGGTTTAAGTGTCTCAAGATTCGGGGTCTTCACCATTTCCTCAGGACATTACTTCAGAAAAACCTCACAGACAAATAGAATTCTTGTGTTTTCCAGCACTTTAACTGCTATGATGAGTGCTTTTTATATAAAGGACAGAGAGATGATGTTAAATGATCGCAACTGTGTTCCAGCAGACTGAGACAGCAATGCCAACTTAATATACAAAGGCTCTTTCTCCTTACCTCTACCACTCTCAGAATGTGTGACAGTGGACAAGTAATTTTTTATGCAGGTTTCCCATTTGTTCTTCTTATTTAGACTGTAAGCCTCTGGGGCAAACATTTCATTTGCTTTTAGAAGTCTAAAGGAGATACCAACACATGACTAGTAATGACAGATGACCAACACTGAAGCCCACATAGGCTTTTTCTCACGTCCGTTCCTCCTACAGCTTTCACCAGCCTTAAGAACTCTTCAGCCTCTTTGTTACGTATAAAAAAGGCCCCTTGTAACCAGAATACAACACTAACAACATGAACAACATGGTTAATTGGAATCTCCGCCCTCACCGCTGTTTACAGTGTTAGGAATTATTTTTTAAAGCCAGAACACTAAGCAAATTGAATCCATGGACTCATTTCCATGGCTGCCTGCTCTCTTATCCTGTCTCATCATACACCCAAAATCCATTACATTAAAAAAAGAATAGCAACAAAATGCAGTGATAGTGATATCTGGGATACACTGCTTCCCTGCCAGTATGCATATTATATTTCAAGGTTCATATTCTACCCACTGTTAACTCACGCATGGATTGTCATGTCGATGTCTGACCTCCAGACAAGAGTTTCATGGAAACCAGAGTAGCTCTGTGGAAACATGATAATGTCTCTGGCTGGTGTCTATCAGCAAACAAGGCTGAAGATTATCTGCTCGTCAGAGCACTCATTGTTGTTTACATTTGCCCAGAACTTAATGCAACTCAGTCTTGACTCATCCCATGCTTTTAAGGACTACCCCAGCAGTAGTTGCCCAGAACCTACCGTGCCAGAGGTTGTCCAAAAATGCAATAAAAATATCATGTCGGGATTCCCAGACACCACCTCCACTATCTAGCCAGGTACTCCCTCCAGTTTGCTGCAGTCATTGCATTTTCATCTTTTGCTATGAATGCAGCATCTGTAATTATAAAGCACTGACTGAACAGGACATCAAAACCTGCTTTGTGAAGAGTTTCCTCCTGCCATTTCTACTGTTATCTTTAATTAATGAAAATACTTCTCATGCTATTTACTGGTTCCACCCTAATAAAATTAGTCACGCACCTATACAGCTCTTTCCTATAGTTTCAGGCTCCAAGGCTGATGCTGTAATTTAAAAGTGGATAGCTATGTGGCAACCTACCATATTTGTAGCAATATATGCTTAGATAAGTAATTAAGCCTTTAAAAGTGTCAGCCATACCATTTATACCATTCGAAAAGGAACCCAGGCCTCATCCTCTTTACCGGTGCATACTGAGCCAGTTACTAGCATGATTCTGGCTTGCACTGAGTGTCAAGTGCAGCTCATTTTCAGAGGGAAGTGCCACAAATCAAAGGACATGAAACTTTAATCTACTGGGACAACTTTTATGGTTATGCAGCTCCAAAATGACTGTCAAGAGGTTTTTGACTACATCTCACCCAACAGCTAGCCAGAATTGCCCAGTGGTATATTGCTGGTACATTCAGGCAGCAGCTGACTAGCGTCAGTTCTCTGTATGAAAGCTGTTAATGTTTAACTATGAACCCCAACTGCTCCCACACAGCAGAGAGACTCATTTCAATTATTCCCCCATTCTAGTCTCTGCAAAGAACATGAATGATATAAACTACTCATAATTTTCCCCCTGAGAACAGAAATCTAAAGGGATTTATAAATAGCCATCTTCCTTTTGATTGGGGTGAACGTGAAGGGGCTGACAGAGGCTAGGTGAGTCTTTTAGTTCCTGGAGGGAAGATACTAGAGACATATTTAGTCAACAAAGAAAAAAAGTGTGTTCTTAACTTGTGTAAAAATAATTGCAAAGAAAAGGCAACTTGTCTTAGCTTTCAGAGAAATATAGAGCAGATCTCAATTTGACAGCTAAAGCTAAGTTATCTCTACAGCTGTTTACATTAGCTAACTCCTATTAACTAAATGAAGTTAAAAACTATCACCCATATTTATATTTCTTTTGCAGTGGAGGTATACCCACTGGCGCAATGGTTGCTGAAACACACAGAAATTAAAGTAGTGAAATGAAGTGCTGCCAAAGAAAAAAATCCCCTGTATTCCCTTTTTCTCCTCAAATACCTCCTTCCTCCTTTAGCTTTTTTTTTTTTTTATAAACATACTGCAGGGGAAAATAAAATAAACTCAAATCCATTTCAAACCACAACATTTTCCAAGACTATTTTAAGACTTATATTGGTTAAGCATAGGAACATGAAAGGTTTCTGCTCTTAAGAAAAATAGATTCTGAGGCTAGGATCCTAAAGTTATTCAGAAAAAAAAAAGCCAAGAACAAAACTCTCTTTTCACACAGTAATAACGTCACATATGGCTTCTCATTAAATTAAGAGGGTGGAACAAATTCTTGTGGTTTCGTGGCACACAGACAAAATGTACTTGTGGCCTAGTGAAATTTTCAATAGGAAGGCTTGCTCTGGGTAAACTGAATGGTTAGAGCTAATTTAAAACTATTCTCTCATCTTAATTAAAGTCTCAGAGCACATACTATGCAGGCTGAACTCTCTAATAACCGAAAAAAAATCAAGTTTGACTCTCTTTAATGTGCTTTAATAATCACCTTCAAAAGAAGGCAATTCGTTGTGAATTCCAGTTGTGTTTCTTTGAGCAAGAATGCACCTACCTCAGCAAACCCACCAAATTCATGCATTACCTTGGCTTCTGATTTTTCTGAGGTGACTATCATATGGTCAGGCTTCTAAAAAGATTTAGAAGATGAGAGGTCTCTCCCCCACCCTACTGAGAACTAAATATATTATGTGACTTCTGACAAGTCAAATCTTCCCCCATCACACATGGCCCTAAATCTCTTCCCATTCCTTGACTATCTTGCCTATTTGAGCTGTAGGCACGCTGGGGCAAGGATCAATCATTCTATTAAGTATCTACAATACTTCTAGAAAAACAGAGTTCACACTTGCTAAAGATTCTGTTAAAACAACATCATGGTTTCTCGCATAACTTTCTTGCACAACAGGTATCTTGCCTTCATACAGGACAGACACACAACAGGCAAATCAGGAACTCTTATTTTACTAGTGAACTGTGACTCACACACACAGCCCCAGCCAGCTGACATGACGCTGAGTGACTTGTGCCAGTGAATGCTTCATCAGTGCTGTGTCATCACACAATTATTCAAATACAGTGAACACTGTAGCGCAGACTAAACCACAGTTCTGTCTGTGATCACACATCCTGTTCAGTGGAGAGCAGAACATTTTTAGCCTCTCTTAAGACCAATTTTACAATAACGATACAATTCTGCATGACGTTCTATTCAAAGTCTTAGAATGCCCTGCAAAAAGCCCAGTCTCATCTCATATGAGGTCATGTAATAAAATACCAACCACTGAAGAAAACTTACCACATATAACTTGTGCCAGATAACTGCCCACTCCCTCAGGGTAGAAGTGAGTTCTTGTCCAAGGGGCAATTCACTTGGAATCACTGTTTCATGTTGTCTAGGAAAAAAAGGAGAAAACAGAAAAAAAGAGATTGAAACTTACTAGCAAGACATCCTTTTTTGATAAAAACATAAATCAAAATTTCAGAGGGCTTGATATTCACACAATTCATTCACACACAATACCAAGATTCTTCAGGTGCTCAATTGGTTCTCCAACACAGACAGGCACATTCACTACCCATTTTTAATGCAAACACATTTCAAGTTTCTTTCAGTCTTGTTCTTCTCAATGGATCCATTCCAGAAACATGCTAAATAGACAGAAATTAAGTTTGGAAGAATCACCACTTGCAATGGTAACTTGGCCACAGTTATTTAAAAAAAAAACCTACTTTCTAAAGTCTCTTCCTTTGCAACTGCTGTTTTCCTCGCACTATAATGATCACAGAATCAGCTCTAAGAATCAAATGAGGAGTCGTTTCCTCAAATGTTTTCCAAGACAGGAAGGAATCCACACTCCTGCTGGCTACTTGGCTGCGAGCAGGAGTGTGTTATGACTTGCAAGAGTCCCCAGAGGAGCTAAATGTAGCTTGGTTGACCTGACTCACTAGTAACTTGTCTAGCAGAGCTTTCTTATTTTTGCAAATAATATTCTCCTGCACCTATGCCTACAACTGCTTTGGTATGTACAATGCTCTGAAAAAAAAGAAGTTATGCAGCTCTAGAAATCTAGCACAGGTGGTATGCCCTGCTGCACACACGGACCAGTAGCATTCGTTACAACCACCACTACTTAAGTTGTTTGTTTGTTTTTAAATGAAATAGCATTCCATTGTTTTTACATCTCAAGAAGCACCAACCTACCCCCGGTCCTTCACGATCGCCTCTTTTAAATGGATATATGTTTCTGGGAAAATGCCCTGAAAATCAATACAGAAATAAAATAAATAAACCACACCATAGGATATGACATGACAAAAATGCATTCAATAGAAAGCAGGGGAAAGGGGTAACAGCATGATCAGCAGAACAGTAACTGTGACTGATGTTTACTCTTTACCTATACCAGATATGTGTTAGGTCCACCAGCCCCAGTATCACAAGAAGAAAGACGGTAAGGAGCATCAGGTTGCAGGCTTGAGCACTATATTTTATATTAGCACCTCAAAGAAGTTAATTCCTTGTTTCACTGTAATGACACTCATCTTCCTGTATGAAATGTAAACTCTTGCAAACTATCAGTCATGCTCATTTGCCCTTGCTACGAAATATTCTTGGAGTAATTTGTCAAGTTGCCCTGGACCTGTGGTTCTCTAGAAAAGCTCACAACACATGACAGCATTTGTAGAAATTCACCAGTCCCAAGTCTCCTTTATTTAAAATAAACCTTCTAGGAGTGCTGCAATCCTTTTCTATTTCCTTTTCATTCCCCTTTATGCCTGAAAAATGGAGACTGTGAAAGATGTTACCACATGAGAGGTGCCAGGATTGCAATGGGAAACCAGATTTCCATCCAGTTTTCAGGCTGGTTTCACAAACCTCTGGAGGTTTGGCTCCAATACACGCATGCGTAATTTTGGAATATTTTCCAAGTCAAATCAAAACTCTAATCTTACCACCACATATAACTAATGCTGGATGCGTACAGGTCCAAGACCATAATAATAAAGCAATAAGCTACTGTATGCAGATACGCAACAGTCAATTTTGCTAGTTCAAACTACATTACATATGCTTACAATGGAGGAGTACCCAGTTAATGGTTCTGAAACATTTAGCTCAAGGGCATTTATTTCTATCACTAAGAAAAAGGACATAGTGATCAGGAGACCTGCACAGTATTAAGACAAGAAATACAGCAGAAGCATAGCAGATTACAGCACCGGATGGGGTATGGCAAGGTGTGAAATGAAAATCAGAGTCACTGAAAAGTGAGGTCATACCTTCTTAGATTTATTTCGGAGTGTGTATCCTCGGTACCAGCCTGTCAAAGGGAAACAAATTTGTATTTTTTTCCTGTCTACAGCAATTAAATACACATTTGTCATTCTCACCACGTTTCTACAACATGAATCTATTGATCTTGCTCACTTGAGATCTACTATTGCGAAGACACTTCTGCTCTGTTTGTAGGAGGCTTAGTTCCTAAGAGTAGGGTAGAAGGGTGTCTCTTCCTGCCATGAACTGACACCCTCACTTCTATTCTGGACATCCATTTGGGTTGTACTGACAGGACTCAATGGAAAAGCAGGCCACTCCATGCTATACATTTTGAAAGTGACAATCCTTGTTCCATAAACCTTGCAAGTTATATACACAGCACTGAACTACTGCTATGATCATTTGACAGATGAGGCAGACACACAGACATGCACGCAGAACTACCAGCCCAAGGTCACATAGCATGTATCCGACAAAGAGAAATATTCAAGTGTCCCAAGTCCAATTCCATTCCACTCCTTTAAAATTTTCTTTTCTATGAAGTACATTTTCATCCAAATTGCCTTATAGTTCCACATTGTATAGTTTATTTTCTTCTGTGACTCAGGCTAACGCCTTCCTTCAAAGGAAAGCTGAAAGAGAATGTTTTATTAGGTAAGACAAAAAAAAAAAAACCAAACACCCTGAACTGCCTGCCCATGTACAGATATTGTTTCTCGGTATTATCTTGACAAGATCTAGTAAAGTGTAAGATACAAAGTAGTAACTGTGGTTCCCAAGACTCAGAAGCATATGTCACTTTCAGATGTACATTTCTTCTCACTCCAGCACCTGAGATTTGACCAGTATTTTGATTTCAAGGTCACTGAAATGCAAGCGTATGAAAAAACTGTTGTATTTGTTATGTCCTCAAGTGAGCCTGCCTTAATGAGCAGACAGGAGAGAAGAAAAGCTGTGGGCAAGTCACTCCCGCTCTTCTTTCACCACCTCGAAACTGTGAGACAAAGGGTTTTTTCTCTCCACCCTCACCTTCGTCATTTGTCTTGGCTATGTAAGAGCTATGCATGATCAAGCACTCATTCCACTGGGTGCCTGTTCCTTGCCATAAGCAACAGTTTCTCTCACCTTCAGTCCTCCTGAAGTTACTCTACTGGAAATAACAAACTAAACATTTTAGAAGAAGAATCTGCTCCATTTTAAATGCTGATGTGCAGACAATGTCCCTTGTGTTGCTCTGGGATAGGATGCAAACTTGCACTTTCTCACTGACTCTTAGCCACTAAAAACATCGTTCCAAATGTGAAGACTCTCTGCGACCTCAACTCTCAATTAACCATGCTCCTAGAGCACCGTTTTTTGACTCTTCTCCTAAGGTTCTACTTGCATTGAAACTGAAAACACTGACCCTACCTCTTAGCAAACATGTAGGATATAGATTATGGTCTATAATGCATGAATGATGTTCAGAGCTATCAAGACAGACAACACCGATCCAAGATGATTATGTTCAGCTGACTGGCAGAGGGAGCTGCATCAAGGCAGCAAAGGGACTTAAGGGAATAATGAGGCAAGGAAGAGAGGAGGGGAGGGTGGTTTTTTGGGAGGGTTTTGGGGGTTTTTGTTTCTTTTTGTTTTTTCCCCCATGTATTTATATATTTAGCAAAGAAGGTTCTTATAAAGAACCACGGATCTGAGACCCCTCGACCATTTTGGCCTGTTCAGGACACTGGTTGAGAGAGGCCCTTGGGAGACAGTCCTGAAGGGCACAGGGGTCCAAGGAAGGCTGGACATTCTTCAAGAAAGAAATCTTAAAAACTCAGGACCAAGCTATTCCCATGCACCGCAAGACAAACCACCAGGGAAGACGACTGACCTGGCTGAACAGGGAGCTCTTGCTGGGACTCAGGGAAAAAAAGGAGAGTTTATCATCTTTGGAAGAAAGGGCAGGCAACTCAGGAAGAGTACAGGGATCTTGTTAGATCATACAGAGAGGAAATTAGAAAGGCAAAAGCTCAGCTAGAACTAAATCTGGCCGCTGTCATAAGAGACAACAAAAAATGTTTTTACAAATATGTTAATAATAAAGAGAGCCAAGGAGAATATCTATCCATTATTGGATGCAGAAGGGAACATTGCCACCAAAGATAAGGAAAAGGCTGAGGTACTTAACGCCTTCTTTACCTCAGTCTTTAACAGCAAGACTAGTTATCCTCAGGGTACTCAGCCCCTGAGCTGCAAGACAGGGATGGAGAGCAGAATATACCCCCCATAATCCAGGAGGAAATAGTTAATGACCTGCTATGCTGTCTGGACACTCACAAGCCTATGGGACCAGATGGGATCCATCCAAAAGTACTGAGGGAGCTGGCAGAGGAGCTTGCCAAGCCACTCTCCATCATTTGTCAGCAATCCTGGTCAACAGGGGAGGTCCCAGACGACTGGAGGCTGGCCAATGTGACGTCCGTTTACAAGAAGGGTCGGAGGGAGGATCTGGGGAACTACAGGCCTGTCAGCCTGACCTCGGTACCAGGGAAGATTACAGAGCGGTTCATCTTGAGTGAGCTCACGTGGCATGTGCAGGATAACCAGGGGATCAGGCCCAGCCAACATGGGTTCATGAAAAGCAGGTCCTGCTTGACCAACCTGATCTCCTTCTATGACCAGGTGACCCGAGTGGATGAGGGGAAGGCTGTGGATGTTGTCTACCTGGTCTTCAGTAAGGCCTTTGACCCTGTCTCTCACGGCATACTCCTTGAGAAGCTGGCGACTCATGGCTTAGACAAGTGTACTCTTCGCTGGGTGAAAAACTGGCTGAATGGACGAGCCCAGAGGGTTGTGGTGAATGGAGTTAAATCCAGTTGG